TGGACGCCAGTTTTTTATTTCAGCTATAGCTTGTGCACACAGTTTCATTGGGGCTGGTAAGTTATTAATATCGGGATCATCAACCAATCCTTGAAATCTCTTTTCTACTCCTTCTGATATTTGTTGTTTTATTTTAGTTCTGTAAGCTTTAGACAATTTTAAGAATTCTTTGTAGTAAAAATCATGATCTTGTTCAATTTTCTCATGATCTAAATACTCAAATGGACCATCCATCCAAGTATAATAACTTCTTTTCCATTTATGCACTAAATACGTTAGATTATGAAAAGGTTTAATGAAATCTTTCAGTTCTTCGAGATCAGAATAATGGGAAACAGGGAACTTAAACGTTAATTCTTCGTTATTTATCCAACTGACTAACTTATCACAATCATCCAGACGATGCACTAGCTTTCTCAGGTGTTCCAAGTATTCAAGAGTATGATCTATGTCATCCATATTATCTAAAAGCTCTAAATAAGGTGTTATTTCTGCAACTTCTTTGTTTAAATATGCAATTTTTGCTAAAAGATTTTCTTCCATTTCAGCTTTAAATGTTTCGTATGCAGTAGCATTTCTCTCAAAAATTGGTTTAATATCGGTGATCCAATTAACAGTTCGGGTATTAGAAGCCACATGTTCTGGAGATAGAGAAGTCATTTCTAGCAAATTAGAGATTATGTTTATTTGTCTCAATATTCTCTCTTTCAAGGCCTCTACCAACACGGTCTTAGCATGTAAGATGTAAACACCTTGTTCAATTAATTCCGCAGCATTTTCAGGTTCTTTCAGTGCTTTTGCTGCTATAATTTCAAATTCTTTGCAAATACTATCATTTTCACTCATATGAGTTTTTACAATGCCAGCAATAATGTCATTTATGAATTCTAGAGCTTTAGCTTTCAACCCGTTTATCATCCTCCGTTGACAAACAATTGCGCAATTAAAATATTCATTTTCCAGAACAGCTGTAATATCAGAATCTATTTCTTGAAAATATTTTATTTTGTCTCGCGACTCTTCAAACTCCTTGGCCTGGTTAATAAAGTGCTCAAGTTGTGCTTTAGCTGGTGCCCCATACAGCATACTATAAGCTACTCTTAGATCAACCAAATATTGAACAAGGGGTTCAAAGACTATATTCAACTGCTTCTGTAATCTATCGTGACTATCTTTATTCAACCAATCATTGTATTTAACAGGCAGAGCATCATAGTTGTATGGTATTTTAAGATATTGTTCAATTGGCATTAGCCTTTGTGCTATGTGTGCAATAGCATCGGCTATATTATGGAAAACATTAAAAACCTCTTCAAGAGAGGGATCATAGATAAATTCGCCATTAAAATCTAAATCTATGTTTATGATTGGAACGGACTCGGGGTTTCCCAACGAAGTTATTATTGCGTCAATAGATCGACGCATCAGTTCTTGTATTTGCATTGAGATCATTTTAGTAGCACATGATACAAATTCGGGTATTCTTTTAGGTTTCATGCCTTTTAAGCATCTTGGATTTTTTAACCAATTCACTAATATCGAATACCAAGTACTGGATACCAAGTAATCAGCTTTTTTTATCTCTTCCAATACTTTGGTATGAAAATCGTCCAAAGAAAATGGTCCCTTCGCTCTGTATTTTGACAAATTAATTATAAATTCTGGAAACGTCTTTTCGGATGATTCTAAGACAAGTCTTATAAATGGATGTAGGAGTAATGAACCAGATTGTAACTTCTTTCTAAACTTGACCATTTTCTCATAATTCGGTGTAATACCGTGAAATTTAAAATATGGCTCCTCATACCTTTTTCTAGGTACTCCAGGAACATCACGTATTACAGTTTTTACGGCCAAGTCATGAAGATTTCTGTTCCATTCACTTTTACTCTCTTTTAAGAGTTCCTCGGCTAAAGTGGGATAGGCATTTCTTAATTTAGATGGTACTAAACTGAATATTTTTCTCTCCCAAGATTTTAACATTGGAGGCGGTTGCACTTTTTCCGCACATTGTCTTAGAACTGCTATATGTCTGTCTTGAGATATCTCTAAGGCATCGCACTCACTATACTCAAACGAAGATCTAGCGATGTTCACTTTTCTCTTTGTAGCCTTTTCCTCCAGTAATTGACGAAATTTTTGTTTCTTGTCCTAAAATTTCAATGTAAATTTTTGATATATTTTATAAAAGATAAAATTTATTATAAAGATTTGATTCAATATTTGTACTCTGAATACACAAAATTTAATTATGTAGTCAAGATATTTCCAAAACTTGACAAAATTTCAAATGTTTTTTAGTATAGTCAAACCTAGTTTTCGAGTTATCCTAAACATAAAATTCTCTTAGAGTAATGTGCAATTTCCTCATCATGCTATCTTACTTATAGCAATAACTATACGATAACCAAACCCGATAAGAATAGAATCAGTTTTAGAGATCATGTTTGTTACTGTATTTACTTTCGAAGTTTAAAAAATTCTCTTGAAGGCCTACTAAGTTTTGTATGTAGTAATAAATTATTGGATTTTATTTCTAAGAGCATATCTTACTTAAGTTTAAATTGAAATCAAATGAACACATTAACAATTTATAATTTTCTTAAATGAAACTAATATTTTCGGATAAACTACTCACATGTGAGTTTTTCACATTTCTCCTGCCCGATCACGGTTGCTGTAAAGTAACCGAATCTTCGGGAGTAGGAAGCTTATAGTCAAAAATAAGAAATCGCGCAGTGAATCCGAAAATATTAGTTTCATTTAAATGAATACTCGCGAAATATTAGATCTCATTATTATTTTACTAATTATTATTATTTTCGTTTCCTATTTGCGTTATTTATTAGTTTCACATTTAGAAAATAGTTATTTTTTTCTGTAAATTGTACACATTTTCTCAAAAAGATCAGTATTGATCCTGTGCATAATTGACATTTTTTTTAAATTTTATGCTTTTTAGTCTTAATTAATAAAGAAAATCTATACTAACGGAAAAGTGCCGTCCTAAAATTAAATACTGAAACTTTTTAAATTTTTAGTCATATTCCTTCGTTGATAAAACAAACACCACGATTTAGTTTGTGCTAAGCCTAGAGTTCGGATACTCTGCCTAATTTGTTTTTTGTTAACAATGCAATATTTTAGATAAAACAATAAACAATAATAATATTGTCACATTTTGAAAATTTGTCTTCAAAAATGTATCATTATACGCTGGTTTAATATGAAGATATAGTTTCATTTATTTGCTACTTGCGAAATTCTTGGAAAAAATATATAAAAACGCGTTTCTATGTTGAAAAATGTTTCTATTTAACTTTTAATTAAACATACAATAACTTTTTTGCCGAGAAGTTTTGATTCCACTCTATTTATCGAGGAGTATAAACATTATTTATGTTTATTATTTATAATAAAGACTACGTTAGGCAGTATTAAATAAATTACAAACTGTCAACTAATATAAAATAAACAATATATTACCTTAATTCTGTTGTAAGGGGGCAATGGTATAAAAGGCAATTTGTCTACTTTATGCACATCCGGTATCGGAAGCATGACAGGAATTCTACAACCATTTTTGGTCTGCAACAGTTTTCTCAATTCGCTCTCTTCCATTTTTTTTCTAGTTTATCTCAAATAAAAACAAACATTTTTATCTGAAATAGATAAACAAATCTAGTATAATATCAAATTTGTTTTTCTAGGTACGTAAGTTGAAAAATACAAAAATCAATATTTCGCTAAACAACAAATACCATGGCAACGTAAACTATAAAAAATAGTACAGATTATTTTAATAAAAAAATATTAATTGTGATACATTATCATGCTTAGTATTATATTTTTTATATCCGGACCAAACGAAATATCTTCGGATTAAAATCTATTTTGGGCTGTTATCATTTTCAGAACCTTTGATTTGTATGATATTTAAAATATCAAAGTTATTTTAAGATTACAAGTGTATTAACGCTTTACAATTGAATCTTATTTATTAAAACATGAGTTAAGTATCAATTAATAATAAAATAAGATATATCTTGGGGAAAACCACACAGCTTATAAAATTCGTTAATGTTATAAAGACAAGTATGTTTTTAAGAAGAAGTAAAAATTAAAAATGTTTCTTTATTTCTTTTATTAATAGTAAAATTTACAAATTTATGGATCAAAACTTTAAGTCAATTTTCGAGAATCGCAGCCGGGCGTCAGCTGATTGTGACTTGTTGACAGTCGATAGTTTATCATGACAAGAATACCTAGTTAAAAGCTTTTATATCAACATTATTTAAAAAAGATCGAAAAAAGCCATCGTCACATAACATAATACAAATATTTTTATCGTTTCATTATAAAGTATGTCATCCGTTATCTGAAAATAAATCATGTCAATGTTCACTTAATTAATTTGTGCAGAAAAAAAAACAAATTACTGCTTATCTCCTCCAGTGCATTAATTGATATAAAATGAAGGTGTGATAGTTAAGGTATAATGTAAAAGTGTGATAAAATAATAAAAACTCTCAGACAAATCACGGAATAGCAATGTTTATTATTGACTTTCAATAAACGCTGACAATATTATGCGAGAATACTTATTTAGGTTTGTACTTATTTCGAAATGTACAACTTTTTTTTCGATTATACAGGTTTTATGGCAATTTATGATGGGATGGTAAAAAAAATTTTCCTTGAAAATTTATGAAGTCTTTATTAATATATAGCAGTTAAAATATTTATTTATATATTTTTTTATACACAAATATGTAATACATAAATTTGAAATTCTATTTATGTAAATTGTAAACTAAAATCTAATAAATAATATATTTCAAATTGTAATTGAAAATCAAGTTATGAGGTAAAAAATAACTATTCAAAATTAAAGTTGAAGAAGAGTGTATGAAATTATTAAAAATGTTTTTTTTGGCATTTGAAGTTCATAGAATAATTAGTAAAAATGCCCCCTTTCTTATGTTTCAGATGGAGGGAAGATGCATGGTACACAGAGAGTTATTATATTTTGTCTGTTAACAACAATTATACCAACAATACTTATTGTGTCACCGTTGTATCTTAGAAATATAAAATATGCTGATGTCATGTACCAGATATCTGATTCGGATGTGATACAAATACACAAAGGTCAGTCATCAATATTCTGTGAAAAACATTCCTTAAAAATGAACAGTAGTTTTAATGCATTCCAAATGAAAGGCAGACCTAAACTAACAAAAAAACGAAGACATATAACTTTAAGGAAATCAATGACTTTACCCGATGATACTTTGGAATATTGGGGATTTTATCTTTTTGCCGGAGCAACGGTTGAATTAAAAGCTTGTTCGAGATATGAAGGTTCAAAGATATTGGTTGTTAAAGGCGAGAAAATATTCAACACTTGTGGCATCTTGGATGGTAATAAATATAAGAAAGATCCTGTTCTAGTAGAGAATAAGCATGTGTCGGTAACATTAGAAAATCCCAAAGAAAAGAAAAGGGATATTGTAAGTAGGAAATATAGCGAGGAACCACCACCACCTTCTGACATCAAGTTAAAGAGTAAAAGAGATGTAAATAGCCCACCACTTCATAATCCGAACACTGTTTTGGATGCTGGTGTGAATCATGGCGGAAATGCAATGAATGCCACAGCAAATATATTAGAAGATGCATCCGTATCCAGCTTTGAAAATAATCTATATGAATGTTACAATGAAAATATTCTAATGAATGATTATTTTCCTTATTCCATGCAATGCAATAATACAAAGTATTTAGAAGACATCACCACACTCAAGGTGGTACATAAAGTGACCTCAGACGGTTACTACTATTATATATTTTACAGCGACAATGATTTTGTTAACAATGATATTCATGCAATTTTTGACATATACAAACCAACATTCCAGTATTCAAATATATCAGATTCTAAGATATGTTTAAATAAAACAGAATGTCAGTTCAACGTGGATATGTTTAGCGATGAATTAGTTATCGTCGAAGTTCCGACTAAAGATGGCTTGAATAACAATGACGAAGATACGTTCGTACTGATGTCTGTATGTCATCCTAGAATGTCCGTGTACATTATATTTCCAGTGTCCGTTCTCTTACTGATACTGCTCTTTGCATTTTTATGATATTTATTTTTATTGACTCTTTACGTTCTCTTTATAAAAATAAATATTACGAGGAGTGTGATATTAATTTATTGAATAGTATAGTTAAATTTAAGATAGACTGTGATTTATATTTTGCCAGGCAAATATTTTATTGTTAAAGCTTTGAGAATTGAGAGGTTTAAAATAAAGTATAAGAGATGTATTCATAGCATTTGTTTTAATTCGTTATTTTTTTATTAGCATATTTCGTATATACTAAGTACCTACTTATGTAAGAAATAATAAATGATTAATGAGTACAAGTTAATATGAGTTTGTATTGACAACCTAAAAACCCTTTACTGCATGTCATAGACAAGAATTTATAATTAAATATGGAACTGTTGAATCGGCATAAAGGTTGCAATGCAAATATTAAAAGCCCAGTTACTTGCTAGAATATTTTATTTTATTTATAATATAAACAAAAGTTTTAGCTAATTTCATTAATAAAGTTTCACACGAGCCTGTTTTAAAACAATTCTGTGCGCTCTAGGACTCTTATTGATCTTTGTAACGAGGTTCAATCTTCCTATTATGGATAAATCCCACATAGCTAATTTGCCAGATTAATATGAATTTGGGATTTTCATAGATTTCTTTCATAAACAACTACAAAACCAACTCTCTAACTTCATATAGACAATGTTTTAAATAATGTATGTCGAAACATATCAGTTGCTTTATTTCATTCATTATATTTTATGGATAAAAGATCTTCATTAACCGTGAGGAACCAATTAAAAACGGTACCTAAGAATTATAACACTTTCTTATAAATATGAATTTTAATGACCAATTATAAAATTAATTACAATTTTTCTTAATATTAGTTTCATATATTCTGTATAACTTTATTATGACTGAAATTTAAGTATGCGTAATCGTTAATTTAGTGTGTATAGAGGTTTGAAGGGTAATGGCGATTGGCAAAATCGATTTTACCATACATAACCCTAACCTGTGCATCATATCTATTCTCTATATTTACCATTGATTCATACAGGTTTTCGTGAAATAAATCTCAGTAGAATGATTTTTAACGAGCTTCCTCAAGTTGTACAACAATAAACATTACAATGGCTTCTAAGAATTTTCAATAACAAACACAGTATATTATACACATACATAATATATATATATTATGAATCATTGTCAAATATAGTTTTATTTACTGTGAATCATTTTGTGTTACAAGCGAAGCTACCTACAAAGTAATTTTAATAGAATTCGCAGTTATGTACTTTATCTACATGTTTTCGTTTCCAAATGCTAATAATACTTATCACTATTCTTTTAAAACCAACTACTATTTTATCTTTAGCTTATAAGATAATAGGACTGGATTAAATTCGTATTTTATATTATATACGTTCTTCGTTTTTATAAACAACTGAAAATTCTTTGTAACTATTGGATGGTTTTAGATAAAATAAAAATAAGATCAATATTTATCTTTGATATTCATAAAATAGTGCGAAATTGTTATGTATGAGAGCTAAAATCAAAAAAACAAGTTTAACACTATCATATAAAAAGGTTACTTAATTTTTTTTCGAATTTAAGAGATTGAGTGTCATTGCTATTATTTTTAATCAGGCTGTTGGGTAATATTAAATTTAAATTATTATAATTGAATAGATTTTCATTTAAACCTTATTGCTTGGCGTATTACTTTCTTAATTTCGATTATTAATATCAAGTCTTAGCTTTTAATATGTTACGCCTTCAAAACTGTTTTACAGTACTATGTGTACTACAGCAATGTAATGGGCAAAGGTAATATTTCTTTCTTATTTAATTCTTTTGCAGTTGTGTTTGTGTAATTTTGTTATATTAAGTTGAAATTTAGTCATAAGATCTACTAGTGACAAAAAATAATTTATTTTCCAATAAAATGCTACTGCATCTGCAAGTAGATCTTACAACCAAAACATGAATGCGGGCTTGTTTATGTAGAAACAAACAAAAAGAAATATGAAAGTTGAGGTAAAGCTAATGTATTTAGTTTATTCAGGATAATTGCTTATTATAAATTGAATGCACATTATATTATTTATTATGATTTTGAAACTGAACTTACATTTGTATCTAAGCTACGATTGTTACAATGAGTATCGAGTAAATTTATTAGTAATGGTTAGACAGTGTAGTTTAATATTATATAGTGATTAAGTTTTGCACTTTCAAAACAGGAACCTTAATTACCAACTTCTTGTATTTCGAAGAAAATTTATTCCAAAAATATAAATAACTCGAAATGAACATAAAACCATGTAGAAAATTAAAAATATTATGGGAATACAGGATACAAATAGGACCTGTCAAAAGAAAGTAATGACTTAGAGGAAATTTTGATTTATTATTTCCACATAGTTGTGTCCAAAGTGCGTTTCAACAGCTCAGTTGGTAGATTTTCTGTAAATAAAATTTATACAGTTGAATAAAAGGCTGAATAGAAATTAAGGTTCCGATCGGGAATGGAGCGCTACAATCTCATATCAATAACAATACAGTCAAAATATTTAATCATATTTATTTACCGTATTACAAAAACAGTTTACCATGTTATGTACAACTGGAAAAAAAGCTACAATACAATATTTCCTTCTAGTACTTTTGTGATTGAAATAGCCTCTCCAGTACCCGATGAGACCCCTCTGCAGGTAGCAGGGAGGGCCGAGCGGAACGGGGGCCATCCGGCGGGGCCGGGCTTACTCTATGTAGATTAAACTTATATAGATACGTCTATGATAGTACTAGTCATTAAAACATTAAACTAAAAGTATCGGTCCAAATTAAATGTTCCAATAAAAAAACAGCACAGCGGTAGTTAGGAGGCTGCTCCTAATACTCACACCGTTTAAATATCGCAATAGAATGCAGGACACAAATTATAAAGTGGAATGCTCCGCCACCTCAGATGAGGTTAGCCACATCGTTGGGCATTTCCGTAATAGTAGTGTGGTAGAACTCCTCAATATCCTTGAGCGCCCTCTTGTCAGCTTCGGTCACAAAGTTGATGGCGATACCCTTACGACCGAAACGACCACCTCGTCCGATACTGTAACACAATTGAACATTAACATATAACACAACAACTTTCTACTCAAATATTACATAGTAAAAATATCAAAAACAAGTACCGATGGATGTAATTCTCTCGGTTGGTGGGTAGATCATAGTTGATGACGCAGGATACTTGCTGAACGTCTATTCCTCGCGCCAACAGATCAGTAGTGATCAATACACGAGACGAGCCAGTACGGAACTGACGCATGATCACCTCACGCTCGCGCTGGTCCATATCACCGTGCATAGCGGATACTGTGAAATCACGCTGATGCATGGACTCGGTCAGCCAGTCGACCTATACAACAAAAACATTGAATATATATAATTATTAACATAGGAATTAATAAAATATTTCTATATAGTGCAGTTTAATTTAAGATTTTCTAGAATAAAAAATTGTACAAAATCCTGTCACAATACAATGTAAAGATATTACTTTCCTTTGTAAAGATAGGAAAGAAAATTTGAAAGCAATGGAATATGAATTGAAATGTACAATTATAGCTATAATATTTAAATGAAATCATTAATAACAATCGCATGAGATGTTTGATTAACTACATATTTATCAATCAGCTTCATTGGATAACTAAAGTTTTTTATCACTAAGTAGTATACAAAACAATTCCCTGTTCGAAGGGGAATTTTCTGTCTAAACTAACTTTATTACTATAAAATGCATTCTCATAGATTTTCACAAATATAAATAGTTATAAGTTTTCCTTATTCTACATACTTTTTAAGATAGCCACTATCTAAACTTCTCATTGCTCGAACATTATTTCACATTATATAATTATTGTATCAGTACTAAAAAATTCTAAAGGCCGCCTTAACATAAACATGACTGCTAACGTTGCTGAGAGAATGACCTTGAGGTGATTCAATCTGAGATTAGTTTGACACAAGGTTATAGCCATTTATGAACAGTAATATTATAAGCCAATAAACTAGTCTATGTGATGCTTTACATTTAAAGACGCTGGTTACTTGTTATGAAAAAATATATAGAACTCACTAAAATATTAATTCCTATTTTCATTTATATTTGTTAGAAAAAAATTTAATGTATACACAAATAATGAGATGTTTTACCTTGCGACGTGTGTTACAGAAGATGACAGCTTGGGCGATAGAAAGAGTATCGTACAAGTCACAGAGTGTGTCCAGTTTCCAATCTTCAATATCAATTGAGATGAAGAATTGTTTAATACCTTCGAGCGTGAGCTGAAATAAATTAAAACATTATATTGCATATAATTAACTCGAAATACTCAATGTATCCCATCAACATGATAAAATATCAGCTATCTATGTAGTTTAGATAACTACATATTAACAGCGTTACAAAGAATTTGCATATAATATGAAACTTGACACTATAGAATTGTTTATTAATAAAAATGTCCTACTTATGCTTCATATCAAATAACTATGTAATAGAATCACACCAGGCATTGTTCTAATGTGCTAATAATGTTAATTATATGATGAAACTAGCAGTAGATGTTATAAAAAATACACTTTTCAGCGTATTTTAACTCTGACACAATGGATTAGAAAAAAATAATAATTTAAGGCTGTGTCATACAATAATTAAATAGGCATTGCAATGAAAATCGAATCCGTTTTGATCAAAATTTTCTATAACGTAAAACAGGGAATTATGAATAGAATATAGTCGTCTTACCTCCTCTTTCTGCACAAGAATACGAACAGGGTCTCTCATAAAGCAGCGGGAGACCTCTAACACATCATCCGGCATAGTAGCAGATAGCAGAATGACTTGAACATCAGATGACAACATCTTGAAGACATCGTGGATTTGATCTTTGAATCTAGAAGAATATTTTAAAATAACTATCCAAACTTATATAGGGATATTTCACAGGCATCCTAGGCTTCGCTAATACAGTTTAATGTATATTTCACAATAGTTATGTATGCAATAACACTTGATTACTCACCCTCTAGACAACATTTCATCGGCCTCGTCGAGCACAAACAGCTTAATCGTGTTGGCACGGAGCGCCCGACGAGTGATCATATCGTATACACGACCAGGAGTGCCCACGACGACGTGGACACCGCTCTCCAGCTGACGTATATCCTCACGTACATTGGTACCACCGATACAAGCATGGCACTTAGCATTCAGATGATCACCCAGGGCAATCACAACCTTAAAAGTTAAACATTCACTAACATTAAACACTTCGAAGCTAAAAGCTGATACATTCGTAACATAATACATACCTTCTGAATTTGTTGAGCTAATTCCCGAGTCGGAGCTAAAATCAATGCTTGACACTCGCGAACACTGGTATCAATATGTTGTAGAATCGAAATTGAGAAAGTAGCAGTTTTGCCAGTACCAGACTGGGCTTGAGCTATCACATCGCGGCCCTTGATGCAGGGCATGATCGCGCGTTGTTGGATGGCCGAAGGTTTCTCGAAACCGTAAGCGTAGATTCCTCGCAACAATTCCTCTTTCAACTTCATGTCATCAAAGCTTTCCACGACTTCATGCCAGTTTGTGTCGAGGGCGCCGCCGGGCTCCATACCCGGAGGTCCATCGTAACTGCCTTGATCCTTTGACGGCCCATTCTTAGGATCCTCCGGCCAATCTTCCGATCTGGGAAATGTTATTTGTATAAGTTTTAGTGTTATACCTACAGATCGATTAATTAAAGATGATACGCAAATTATATGAATAAGCGAAAATCATTTATGTTAATCTGTCAAATAACATTTCGCGGACAAAGGCAGAACATTGATCGCTGTTAAGATGTTACGCCTTAAAATCTTTGGACTATCTTATCTTAGGGTGTATGAATATACCATGTTCTAGAAATACATATATTAATAATATAACACGTGCATGGGACCGCACCAAGAAAATTGCTCTGCTACCAGCGCCATGTTGGCAATGGGAGACCGTGTAGAACACAGTTCTGTACAATTGCAATTAAGAAACTGAACGCAATAAATTTACGTTTCCATACAACAATTTATAGTTTTCCTTAAACTTTCATTAAAGACACAATAAAACCATATAAAAATCGTATCTTACCTTCTTTCAGGTGAATAGGACATGTTCCAATCGCGGTAGCTGAACGGAAAAGAACTAGCAAGGTCAAGTTAAGTTTAGCAGAAGCTTTTTTTAATATAATATTAAAAACAAATTTTTATTGATTTTAATCTTAACACTGTAATTTTATTATATTATTTTATGATTATTAAAATACTTTAAATTTTTTAATTACTTATTCTCACGGGAAGATGGGTTACACTAAAATAATAGGAATTAAAACGACGGAAGTGGGTAGACAGTGTATATAGTCAGAAGCAGTAAGTACAACAGATAATATAATAATTTATGTCAAATGTTTCAACATTTTATTTTAGAATGAGGATTGGTTTTGTATGTAGGAATAATTATATAGTTTTATTTCAATTTGGTTCAAATAAATCTTATCCATATTTTTATGAAAGTATTTTCTAAAGTTATTAGTTACAAAAAAAATTGATAGTATTATAAGTATATTTTGAATTGTTAAGTTTTTTCTGAAATATATAAATAAAAATTAACTCATTTTGTCACTGATTAAACCTACAAATGAAAATGTACGATATAATAAAATAATATAGTTTTACTTTACATACTGCAAAGAGGTTGTATCATATCTCAAAAGTAGAAAATATTGTAAACAAATTAAATTTGTTATAAAATTAGTTGATTAAAATAATTTTAGCCTTTTTAAATTATGGTTAACAAAATTCTTAACAAACAATAAAACATTGTTTTTTCAAATCGATCACATTTCACAAGCATGTTTAGACAAGGCAAAATGTAATACATTATTATCTTTTTTATATTTTCAGACCATCCTATTATTCCATTTAATGAATAAATAAAACTAAAATTTAAACCTTGTTTAATTAACGAATGAATTTTTGTAGAATCTTTTATTTTATATGGGTAATTTTGAACGCTTCTATTTAAAAATAATGTTGGCAGTATCGATACTTCCTGTTGTATGTAGAAGTACGCTGCCATTTTGAAACGGCAGTGCTTTTTGTTCGTGTGGAGCGTTAGCTCGTTGCGGGGTCTAGATTGTGGTTAAGCAGAGTTTAGTTTTATTTTACAAAGAACTCTATCAAAATGAGCTGGCAAGATTATGTCGATAAACAGTTAATTGCATCCAGATGTGTTTCAAAGGCTGCAATTGCCGGTCACGATGGAAATGTCTGGGCTAAATCGGAAGGCTTTGACGTAAGTTTCTTGTTATGTTTTAAGTTGTTAGTATTATAATTTAAATCATTTAGGTAAATGCCGCTAAATGCTTGTCGGCGTGTTTAAGTTAAGTTTGTTTCAGATATAATAAAATATGTATAGATGACGAATCCGCAAGTTGACAAGATGGCGACATGTGGTAGAAGTAAATTCGTATTGGAATCAAACTGTTCGCTTTGTTTCATTAACGAACAGTCTTATTAGTTCTCTATTTAGTAATACGCGTTTCGTGCATACGTTTTCATAAAGTCCATTAACATTTTCATTGCTTATTTGCCGTATTATGATGCCGGCCGGTACTTGGGTCGGGTCACACGTCGCCGACGCCTAGCTTTTTATTTATTACCCGCGTTTATTTGTGTAGTTTAGACTTTTATCGTAGGAATTATATGTACTTGGTATAGTTGAAATAATATTTCGATCGTCATTGAAATATGGAGTTGCAAGAGTCATCAAATGTGCTGGCTCGTATGACTCATCGCTCGGTTGTAACGTTTTGCGTAGAATGTATAGCCGGGAATTAATTTATTACTGTAATGGTAAATCGATTTTTATCCATATCATATCATATGTACATAATAAATATGTTCATAATTATCTCTTAAAAGTAAGAAATAGTTTCCATTTCTTTTGTTCGATGAGTAGGCACTTTACAGAAGAGTTTTTATACGATAATAAAAGATTATTTATTTGCAGCTCGTGATATCCTGTTGATATAGAAATATTTTTTTATTTCTTTAGTCAAAAATTTTGGATTAAAGATCACATATTAAATAACTTGTTATATAAATTTCTCTGTGATTTAGATAAACATTTATTTAGTATCTGAAATTGTTACCTGAATCACTAAAAATATATCGATTACATTATAATATATTTGCAAGACTTCCATATTTCCAAAAAAATTCTTAATTTCACACATTATTTTCACCATTCTTCAGTTTTGTCACATTTATATACAATAAAAAACCATTTCTCTAAAATTTGTTACTAAAATGTTATTAAAAATCAGATTTACTGCAAAGTACATAGTCAATATATGTAGTTTGTGTTTTAAGTCACACTTATAAATTCACTAGGTACTATTCTCTTAAATTTTTCAAGTCATTGTTGTTTGGGATTAAAACCAATATAAGAGTCTTGATCATTTTAATATTTGCTAGCTACATTTGTCTTCATACTTTCAATCTGCAATTTTTTCTTTTTTAACCAGAAATAGAGATATAGAAAAAAGTGGCTAAAATTCAAGATATATAATGTTTTAGTTCAAATTATAATAAAATCTATGCAATCTGAATTCAATTCTAAGAGACCAAAATCCTTTTATATAAAATGTTAACTATTTAACAAGAACTGCATTGATATTGGTCATCAACTTGTAGATATCATTATGAAGCCCAGTAATTGACTGGGTGTGATCCTAAAGGATTTAAAGATTACATAGTGCTTATCACAACTGGGTGATTTTAAATCGGCTTGTGTTTAAACATGCAAATATAATTTTCTAACAAATAATCCCCTGTCATAGGTAACACTAAATACAGTTTAGTTTAAATGGTTCTACTTGCTCTAAATGTGTTTTATGTATAACAAAATTAGCATTTCTGAGTTTAGAATTATTTTTAGTTTTGTCTTTGATAGCTTAAAAGAAAATATTGTTGGTTCATTTCGTATGTGGTGTATTTTGTACCTGTTTGTGTGTTGTATGTTAATGTTGTGTTATTTCATATAGATATCAAAAGACGAGGTGGCCAAGATAGTGGCTGGTTTTGAAAACGAATCACTACTCACCAGCGGTGGTGTGACGATAGCGGGCACGCGGTACATCTACCTCAGCGGTAACGAGCGCATCATTCGCGCTAAACTCGGCAAAGTCGGAGTTCACTGCATGAAGACGCAGCAAGGTAATGATATACATCATCATCATCAAATATGTTCCCCATACAAGCCAAATTATTACATTTATATATGAATTTCCCCAAAAAACTCGATAAATATACGATTTTCTTCATAACCAAAGTAGTATGGACTATTTTTGTAATCAAAACCTATCAATTCTACATTGAATTAAATTTATTAGCTCTTTCGGTAATTTAATATATTATTAGTTATTTATTATGTACCTGTCCAGTCGGTGCTTAAAAATAAACGTGAAAATATTCATCTCTTGTGACATGGCCACGTTGACCCACTTTGAAAACATTCACGAAAATAACTCTGGAATGTTTTTGAAAGTAAATTAGCTATTTATTGTATTATTTTATTTAGAAACGTCTTGTGCTAGTAAATAATAAGCTATAAAATCTCTAGCGCACGTTGACCGTTACCTTCTAATTCAATATCTTAGTTAATTGACCTTAATATGAATCGAATGCTGTTATATGTCGAAGGATTTTTGAATTACTTGGTTTTAATTGTATTTATTCTTAAACATATATATATATATTATTAAATCTTCGTAAAATTTATTTGACTTAAAACTTTTGTCGGTATTTTATACCTGACAATAATACGAGAAACCATATTCGTATATTGATCGTTGATTTTGTTACAGCTGTTGTAATTTCTCTCTACGAAGAACCGATCCAACCCCAGCAAGCTGCTTCCGTAGTGGAGAAGTTAGGAGATTATTTAGTGAACTGTGGTTATTAGAGGTTCGTTGTACAGTATCTAGTTAAAACGTCGCGTCTCATATTAGTACGGGAGAGTAATCGAGTATTTTCTTTGTTTGCAGATCGAAGCGCGCCGTGATCTAAGAATACTATAAGATAATATTTTTTCCACAGGGAAATAAGTAACTGCATTTTGTATATTCTATAAAAGTGATAAGGATCGTCATTTGTTTTGATATTTAAAAAAAATATGGCGCCACGTGTCTGAGTTTTAACAGAACCACCGGCAGCCGTGATCGCTCTGCTGATGATGGATTTTTTTATACGCTCACCGTTCTCAAGGAGCGATTGCGTCTGCACGATGGTTGAAAATTTTGTATTTTAAAAATTTGCTTTCGGTGGCCCGTTCATGAAGCTGGTCTATACAGCTTTGCGGTAACGGTCTCAAAGCATGATGTATAGAGATTTTTTTTAGATTTCTTTTCAAGCAGTCTGCAACTACAAAACATTTTATATATCGCGTGATGAACTTAAAATTAAGAGTTGTGGGTTACGAGTATGAAATTGTGTATGAATAAATAAGAGCGCAAACATGCTTGAATGAAATTATAATAACCACGTAATGAAATTACTGTAACACTATACAACATAATTATAAATAGACATTGTGTAAGGGCTTGTTACGACTACGGAGACACTGTAACCCGAATGTAACGATCGTTTGAAAATCTCTAGTCCCACTGGATCCATCGTGTGACCATTAATCTGTACAGTGTGAGCATTCGCCATTATTTCGCTACGCTTCCCTTTCTATTACGCTACGTTTATAATCTTGTAGTGAATAATAAACATTTGCATTCTGTTCTATTCTATCTTATAAACTGCAGAAACTAGAAGCGCTCAATTATAATCCTGTATCCTCAAACAAGGCTTGCAGTAATCGAAGGGTGCATATTGTTTATATTTGATATTACTACTATAGCTTTGTACATTGTTTCTGATAAGCGATGGGAACTGTGTCTATCTAATAATAAATGATTTGTATTATATTTTTTGCTTTTCTTTTGTCATCCATTATTTTTTATTAAGAAATAAAATAACTTGCTTGCTAATGAACATAATTTATTTCCCTTCTGACAAAATCTACAATAATAAGAATTAAGTACACTCGAATACAAGGATTGGTATAAAATGTTAAAACTGGTAGTCTATAAAGTGATTTTGGTTCTTTAAGTTACCACACAATATTTTACATACCTAAGTCTATTAAGAAAATGTCATTAGAACTAACATTTTGTGTTGTGCTATTGATGTAATAGTACAGGGTTACTAAAGACGATTAGAATACACAATAAATCAAATTTACACAACTTACTAGCTGGGTTATCTACATCTAAATATCTATTTCTGTATAGCAAAAGAAAAACAGTGTTCTTAAATAGTGGCTCATCGCCTTATAATAAATAATGCGTTGTTACAATATGCCTATACATGTTAATTTTAATCAAAAACACAACACTCTTCAAGCAAAATGAAATTAATAACAGGTTTTCAAAATCACATTCACTCACAACTTACATTTCAATAAACGGTTATTAACATTTACCACTGTTTTAGCAATTAATCTTATGAGCCGTCAGTAAAGTCTACATCAAAAACATTGTATTAAGCGATTACAAATTAACGTATCCCGTAAACTCATTACGGGAGAGATTTCAAGGTCAAATCGTATAAATTATCTTGTGGTCACGGATGCTCGAGGGAGTAGTGACGAGATTTCTTCCATAGACTCCTAAAGAAACCTTTTCTTTGTTTCTGCCCTGGATGCTCCTCTCCTGTTGACAAAAAAGTAATAATTGAAAAACGCTGAAATTTCAAACAGTAACAACAATACATTTATTGAGGGGCACTGAATTCATCTTAAGGCTTAAATTTAACAATAGAATAAATATATACGAGGTGAAATTGTAAACAAATATAATCTAGTTTATGATGTGCTTCAAAAGTTATAAAACTCTTTCGTTTTATCTCTTTTGTCAGAACACGATGCGAAATTGTTTTTTAAATATTCACAATTAATGGAGGTATGGGTAGGATAGCAGAAAACATACAAAGTTAAACGGTTCTGTGTCTTTAATTAATAAAATACGCTTTAATACTGCACATTTGGGGCTGCAACGTTTGTAAACCCTCATTAAGGGCGTGGAGTGTGAATGTCAAGTGTACGAGGTGTAAGTCTAGTGAAATCGATACAGCGCCAGTAAAGAAAAATAAGTTATAGGTACATATAGTTTTTTTACGTAACAAAAAGAAAGTAATTTTAATTTTCTGATCATAACTGCCGAGTGTTTACCTTTGTTGTAAGTCAAGGAAAACTCGATTAGCGTATAACATTAATTGAACGACATAAATTTTGAGATAAGGAATATTGTGATAATAAAATTAGCTTGATGATACGGTCTATCAATCACAGGGCTGACGGGCGACGGTCGCATATTAAAGTTCACAAGTCGCGATTACTTGTGGAATAAATGACTAATAGGTAAAGGTTATTAAAACAGAACAGTTTTTACCGAAATGTATAAATAAGATAATATAAATCAACACATGTTAATTAAGATGATAATTCGTTTATGTTAAATATTTATGAAAAATAAATCAATAGCGCAAGGTATAGTATTTCGGCTATGGAGTAAGATCGTGCCGTTAGTAGGGAGTACAAGAATAGACCGGTTAGTGGATATTTTCCAGCGCGTCCCAAATGCCTCGCATGTAACCTAAAATAGACCTCGTGTTGCTGCATTGACATCTGACTCCGGTAATATGTAATGTTTCTTTGAATAAATATATTTTTAGTATTAACTTTTGGTATGTAATATTTATTTAACGTCAGTTATTTTATTACCGAGCCAGTTTTATGTTATTGTAATGGTCGTTTTTATGGTTAGATGTATATATTCAAATGATAAAAATGTCAAATAAATCTTGACATATCTATATGAAACCAAAGCATCTCCATCTTCGTATTTCACAAATCGCAAACCGCTGGTCTATTTATAGCATGCGCAGTGGAGGCCCGTCTTATTCAAGTTCATTGGCTAGACTCCCCGCAAAGATTGTGCCGACTGTCGACTATCGATATTTTGTGTGCTCGCTCCAAGTCATATTGTCTCATTTACAGAGCGTCCTGGGATTATGTTACTATGTAATATATACATCCATAATATTTATCTTTATTTAACGTTAGTCTAAAAGTTTGAATGTGAATTATGCTTTCGAAGTTGAAATCTAGGATTAGACACTTTAAAATACATTTCAAAGAAAAAATATACGTCAGAAATTGTTATGTTCAAAATGAAACATTTATTAAATGGCGCTTACTAATCCATAATTATATTTATGTGTTTGATATGGACCTAGTCTTTGGGACGTGAATAATCATTGATATCAGCTGGAATGATTCAACATCCAAATCGATATTTCTTTGTAATATGAACCAGTTGTATGAATCATGTATCCTGAATACATGGAATTTGGGTGACAATGCTTAATTGTAATATATAATCGGGTCACGGAGATCGCTTTGGGGTGCCGTGAAGGGCTCGTGTTGGGGTCGCGTGTTCGCGGGTGAGGGAGGGTGTGCAGGGGTCGTCGACTCCCCGGTGAAGGGCAGCGAGGTCGGGTGCGTTGAGCGTTCGCTTTCGTCGGCGCGCGACGCGACGCGGCGTATTGATCGCTCCCAGCCTCCACACCCGTCTGCCTTCTTTACTATTTGTCCCAGTGTTTTGTATCTCATTAAATATTTTGCATTATCAAAATACGTTTAAAATAGATATAGCGCACCTATTTTACTTGTTATATTTCATTCTAATATATTCTGTCATCGAGTTTAACGAAATAATCATTTTAAAAAGGGCACCAAAAAGAGTTTACATAATCGAGAAATTATAATTAACCATGAAGTTTATTTGGAAAATATCAATAAATAGAAATTTTGCTCGTAAAAAATCAAAACATATGATAAATATCAGATTACTTCCTCGTTTTCTTATGCCAGTGCCTACTACATAATAGAAGCTACTCATTATATACTAGCTGCCAAGTAGTGTGAAAAAACTTGTTATAAAGTAAACCACTAGTTCCTAACGACCACAAGGTCTGGTTTAGGTCGGCTAGATGTAACACAAGTTATCTTACAGGGCCGTGCCAGTTACACCCAGTTGTTTAATTGTATGAGATACGAATTGAATGTATTGAATTAAAGTTATATACCGACTAATAAATAAGTTGTTAATGATTTTTATTTTATGTTATAGGACATACCTGCTTGTTTTAATCAATCTTTTATCGTCAATATTCCAATAAACGACTATAATACTATAAATAACGTAGGCGATTCAAACTTAGGGACATATTGGCGTCGTGAGCAAAAGAAATTGTATATATATGTCGTCAAGGAGATCAGACATTCAAAGTTAAAACATAAATTTGAAAGCTATTTTTGTTCGTGTATTACTTTACCGGAGAAAATAAATTGTTTCATACACTTCGACATAGGTATCAAAAAGATAATATTTAACTTATATACAAAATAATTTAACACTACATACAAAAATATATCTTTTTCGAAAGTTTTAATATAATCCATGATCTTAGTTTCGTTGAAACGTATCTAGAACGGTTTTCCCTTTATTCTATAAATGTATTGATTTACAAAGGAAGAAAGCTTTTACCTGGTTATGCTCTTCAAACGAGACTACATGAGTAAAGAGATAGAAGTAACGTCTACTTAGACGGATACATTCACTGCTATTAAACAAAGCTTAACATAATAATGTACACTGACAAGCCGTACCTACATTTTGTACACAAAACGAAAGTCAGCAGACTTTAGAAACGTACACATTGATTCAGGTTGCTTCTAAAGTACGACTAAATTATTTTTGTTATCCCTCGTAAAGCAATATTTGGGATTCCATTTAATATATAATATGTAGGCCTACATATAGTTAATACTCTGTTCTATAATTTATACAGATTATACATGTATATGAGCCTTATATGAAACAAAATCAATAATCAAGTATATACAATTACGATTCTATTAATATTATAAAGAAAAATAATATGAAGATCTGTTATATAATCTGTTAAATTCTTGTAAGGAAAAGAAAAGAAAGGGCTTGTTGATAATCTTTACAATTATGTACATAATATAACATAGTACACCATAGAGTATATATAATTAATTTTAACATAGATTATAATTAGTATTTTTTATTTAATATGACATATACATCCTCATTTTAATAATATATTTCACTTCCCATAATAGCATCAAATAATTTTAATATGCCGTAGACACCTTATCAGTACGATTACCCGCTAATGAGTGATAACAATGCATATAAATTGTATTCATATCAAGTGTCATGTAAATCATATTTGCTGTTAATAAATAAACATCGACTGTCTTGGTCATTGCTTCGCGTGACCTCTTATCGACCGCCTCGCGTTCATGACGCGTATTCGGTGCATTTATAGTTTGAAATTTTATTATAATAAACATAATTTCACACAGACAATGTAAGTGAAAGGGGTTTTATAATACAATGTAAGAACCATAAAGTATTTGAACTCGTAAATTATATGAAAATAGTTAAAGTAAATATGTATTTTCTGTATTAATAGTATCAAGTTTCGAAATTCAAGTTCAAAGTGACATATCAACACAAGGTCGATAACATCATGCCAAAGCCGACGTTCTGTTCATTATTTTACCAAAAATATAAATTTCAGTTATTTATTAATGTTTAATGTTTTCTAATTAGTGGTGAACGGTATCCGTTAGTATAATATGAAATTAGAAACAATTAAAACACAGTGAAACTTTCTAAACGTAGAAGATACATACAGCATTCTTTTGTTATTTTTTCTAAATTTATATTAGGTCACTGGTTGGATAGCTTTAAAATATATGACACATACATATTCAAGTTATTTTAAATGTCAATGACCTCGCCTCGGAACTATTAAATTGAATACAATAATATTTTTTTCATTTCAAAACTTATCTGTCATTGTTAATACTTATCGTTATTTTTGTAATTATTAATTTACAGATGTCGTTTATTGCTAAAGTTAAACGACTTACACAACAATAAAATGGTTTTTACTATTATATGCAAGGTTGTGTAAGAATTTTTTTATTCAAACTTAAATATTCAAGATTATCGAGCTAACGTCATTGTCAATGTCAATGTTGAAAGCGATTGGCTTATTTAATCTTTGACGTTAGCCGAACGAGATCTAGATAAAACTAAGCAGAAACATCCCATTATTTACGGTCTACGAATTCAGCAAAAAAATGAAACTTTTACAATTTGAAATTCTTCTACTTAGAAACACATTAGAGACTACACAAAGTATTGAAGAATGTTGATAAAAAAAACCGATAAGTGCAATAGTCTAGTGACTCACTTTTAACTAATGAGGTCGCTATTCTAAGGACGGGCTTTAAGTACACATATACATTTAAGTAGTTGAAATGTCGGACAAGATGTTTACGGAGAAGAGAAATTGCAAAATATGAATAATATTTAATTTGTATAATATTAACGTTAAATAAAATAAAACATTAAATATTTATATATTTTTAAAATTTATATGGCAAATGTTCTTCAATTAATTGTAAAATAAAATATTAAGACCGTATGTTATAGCAAAATAATTTTATATGTAGACAAACGGTTACGTTGAACGACCTCATTGTAAGTAGGTATAGTTAGTATCGCCAGAGGTAGTCATTACCCTTGTCGATATAAGCTTTACGGACCTGTACCAGTTTATACCAAATATATACATATAAAAAGTATACCTATATTATCATATAATATATATGTCATTACTTTCCGACTTGTCAACAGAAAATTAACTTATGCCTTATTAAAAAAAACTTAAGCCTTTGACATAACGGTTTGTCAAATTCAAATGTTTTTAACGTAATTTAAATAGAATAAAACGGAAATCAATTTAAATGTAAACTTTGTAAAACAACATGTATTTAACGAGCGTGTGAATGAATCTGGAATATGTTTACTATCTCAACTCTTCATCAGATATTTACTGGAAGCTATCCAAATGACGAAAAATAGCATAAACGTTTTACGTGTTCGTCTAAAAATAACTAAGAAATCCGATAGAGCTTTGTGCAAAAACAAAAGTTTTCCAACTCATTAATAATAAAAAGATATAATTTATGTTTATAATTAATTAATTATTTCTATATTATCGAAGTGTTTTAACGAACAAAACAGGAAAATTTATAAATATCATATTAATTCTATATGGATTAAGGAGACATATTTTGATACGGGCAACACAAAATGTAATTTGAAATTTCTTATGATCATCGTTATTCGTGTGTGAATAGACGGTCATTGACCTCATATGAGCAATTTTAAGTTAATTGCATAAAATATCACACTGCTCTAAGATTTTCAATTACGATATAAAATCCATTCGAATATTTCTGCTCAATGTTTTCAGTCGATTAAAGTCTAGATAATAATTTAAGGCACAAAAAATTGGTTTTTTGTTGAGATTAGAAACGAGTACTGTCACAGTGTTAAAATTGAAAGCCGTACATCTTTATTGTCAATCGGGCAGGCTTGGACACGACAATTAACGAATACGCGTTCATAATGATAGAACAAACCAATTAACTATCGCCCAGTGGAAAGCTGGTTACAGTTATGACATCACCAGCGTGTATTAAAACAAGATATGAAACAAGTTAAAATACCGTTCGTTATCGAAGGGTTCGCCTGACTTTTAAAAAGGTCATTTTCACAACTATGTTAAAACCTCGGTTATGCTTGCGTGTTTATTGTGGGAACGAAAAATAATTTAGAAATTGCATATTTCTTAGGCCATAAAGTAAAGTTTGGATTGAGAAGGTCCGGGGGACAAATATGTCATATGTCAAAAAGAGAAGAATAAATAATTCTTCTCTTTTTGAATTATGGCTAGACATTTTAATTTTTTAATGGCCTTACTTGACTTTAAGTAGAGTTTTTTAATCCCTGGAATTTTTTTTAAACATCTTTGTCGATAATCAAATGAAAGCGTGCTTTTGTAACAACCAAATCTCCTTGAAATTTTTGTAGAAATGTGTCTAGAGACCCCTAACATCCTATTTATTTTCGCTTATTCAGTTGCTGCCCAGGAAAGGTTGAAAAAATTTAACGTTTCTCACGTTGTCATAAAGCTATATTCATTATAATCCCGATATACAAATTGTATACATATATACGTATTTCATTTCTTTCTTAAACTCTTTAAAATATCTTTCTGGAAGGAGACAGTGTGTGACGTATGAATCATCATGTTCACAAAGTTTTAAGTTCACTTTAATAAGAACGCGAGAGTGATTCATTTCTAATTTGAAAGCGTTCAAAATGCAGCTATATTAATTATAATTACATTCGGTTAAATGATTGTACCGAACAAAACTGTACACCTACTCGTTTTGAAACACGGATACGTTTTATCTCGGCTTGTCCCATTGATATGTCACGACTAGCGACGCGGAGTCATTGTGTTGGAAGCCATTATCATATCAGCTATTGCGAGGATGTTTCGACGATCCAATATTTACATATTTTTTTATTAAGTCGACTGTAAAGAATAGATAGATAGTATTTTAATATTATTTATACTTGAAGTGAAAACAGAAATTTGCTTATTTTTGATTCCCATAATAAAACCGTGCAAGTTATAGCGTCGTGTTTAGAACCTCACTTCCATGTCTAAGCTGATAGTTACATCAAGCCATTGTTTTCGTTCATAGCTTGTATAAAGTCAATATCATTAATATTATGATTAGCTCAATTCAAACAATAAGAGCCCATCGAGTGTTATGGAGCGTTGTAATCGATATGTGGTAATGACAGGCAATCTTAAACTCTCGCGTAGACATCAGCTCGATGGAGGGAGAAATTCCAATATCCGCAAAAAAATGCTAACAAATGCGGTGTTCTCGCCCCAGCAGAGGGTGGGGGGTTGGTTGTTCGACGCGGAGGGTCTCACTGCGCAGGGTGAGGGCTGCGCGGTGACCGTCGCGTCGCAACCCTGCCCCGCACATGTGCGGCAACGACCGCGCCCTTCGCCCGCGCCCCCTCCACGGGGGTGAGCCCGATCATTACTCGCCCATTCATTGACTATTCTCGAGCATTGCTATAGCAACCCGTTGCGTAACATTGTCTTAAAATAAAATTATATTCACCATCATCTATATTAGGTACTAACCGTTAGCGGAACGCGCTGCCGGCGAAGTGGCTTCCTTGCTTCTAGAATTCTCTTTCTCCTTCCCATTGTTACCTAAGAATAAATATGATTATGAAAATGTTGTAACCCACACATTATTATGTTTAAAATTGTTGAAACGTGCTTATTATCACGTTCAGTCGATAAGTACAATATCCAATAGATACGAGTTTTACATTATTCACCGGTAAAGTGTTAAATTAACAATGCTTTATTTATTATACTTAATACGTTATCCGGACAGCACGGTATTAATTCGTTTTATATATAAACGTCGCTATGAAAGTTTACAGTAAATGGTTACGAAGAACAGGAAAGAAACGAAAGACCTCATTGAATGCGATCATGCAACTTTTTATTGAACATATGGAACCGGTCACGGCGTATCATAATGTCCTGTTGCTATTAAACTAGTAGCGTATCAATCCGAGCCGGAATCATCTGACTAGGGAAGAGGAGGGAGAACACCACCACCCATCCGAGGCACATTCCCGGGAACATCCTCTATTGGCCCGTTCGACCGGTTCCAACGAGCATTCAACCCGGCAAAGCTTGCAAATTAAAATGTTGAATTTCTTCAACAACTATCTTTGATGACTCGTCATTTAGTATCGCGGGTTAACTATAAAATGACGTTATGACGCTGCGTTTATTGTGAATAGCTTTTTAAGCCGAGCTATCCGTGAACCTATCAAATGATGAAAGTTGTGGTTATGCTATATCTATTTATATTACGCAATGACACCGTTTACAGTAATTCTTTTACTTATGAAAAACTGCAAGATAATTTTCAAGTACCGATATCACCGTAGTCATATCTTTATAGATAAGGGCGTCTTAAAGATTCAATTGCAACAATTTTTACGATTGTTTTACGAAGCCGGACGCTATGACCTTGATTGTGGCGTTGACTTGTGCGGCCTCAAATCGCAACAACGGTCGGCCGGCGCTCTGCGACACCACATGTACAATTTTGCACATGAAAACAACTTAGGGTTAATATAATGTAACAGATGTTTCAACAATTGCTTATAAATTTAGATCTTCGAATACTTCGTTCTCAAAAACTCACATGGTTTCAAATTTTAAAGTTATAACCGACATTGAGATTTACAATGTCACTGTAAATGTTATGTGGTTTTAAATTCTTAAATATTGTATTTATCCTAAGAGGAAAACAGTATACTTATTATTAGTATTGAGTCCGCTAATAGCAATTAATACTACTAATTAAATGCCAGTAAGAAGTAATTTCCTGATGTGAACTTTGGTTGAAATTAAATGATGTAATTATAGGGAGTAAAACAAGTTATTAGTGTTTATTAAATACACTGACTAAATAATAATTAAAGTACGCTACAGTTTGTATTAGACAGCATGATCAAATATTGTATTTTCAAAATTTAGTTTTATTACAATATAAGAGTATTTAGACACCACTGACCGACGGTGAAGGAAAACATCGTTAAGAAACCTGGACCTATAATTTCACAATTATAAGTTTGAAATCACCAACCCGTCTTGAGCAAGCGTGGTGATCAATGCTCAAAACTTCTCCATGTGAGAAGAGGCCGTTGCTCAGCAGTGGGCTCTGATAGGCCGATGACGAAAATAACATAGTCCAAGCATTGTTTCGATATTATCAAAATATCCATACAAATAATATTAAAGGTGTCTTGAGAAGTTTGTCCATCTTTAATGGTTATATATACTTTCATGAGTCATAGTCAAATAGTGTGAATTTACATAGTAAATTATTTGTTTTTGAAGTTATTGTGTTATGTAATATTGTGATAATCATAAATATCTTATCTAGAAGTTCTTCAAAAATTATCGGTAATAGTGAATATTAAGTGAAATTTTCGTTTAAATATGTTTATATTATTTATGAAATCCTGCTTAATATAATAAATCTATAAGTCATTATACCAATTATTAATAATTCTGAGTTATTTAACACGATAAATTTATTTTGGTAATATAATAAAAAATGCCAGTTGTGTTTCCATAGCCATATAATCTGCAACAGATTTTAATTTGGTGACAACCAGAGACAAGCTTTCTTTTTTTTATTCGTCTTATTATAAAAACTTAAAAAAAAAAACTTCAATATCACTCTCCGATCGTCCATTTTGAATACTAATAATAACAAATGGATCCTTATTGAAATGAAATTGTGAGAATTTAATAATTAACTTAATAATAATTTTTCTTTTAAAATCAATTACAGTACTCGTTTATTGTACGCGTAACAGTATGGTGAACATCAAATAAGGTAATTGTATTTTTTACCACACGGTAAAGCACCATATGGTTTTGATGGTTAACGACAGACATGCCCATAAAAGCTTTTAGGTTGTCCGCCTAGCACTTAGCTTCTGTAACAAGTACCAACATAATAAACACAAGTATTATGTTCAAAGGGATCATAAAACGACTGCAGCAGTTCATATACACAAACTAGCTAGCGTGAATCACGTATCAATTTAAAAGCTTACTCATATTATTTGAAGAAATAAATTATTATTTCGATCAAACAATGATATGAGATGCTTTACAGTTGACTATTAGAGGCCGGATGTAGTCATAGATTTGGTTGAAGACGGATGTATCGCCATTGGCATGCGCGGCGTCAACCGGCGACAATGCGCAGAAGGTACCGGCGTAGAATAATGAGTATGTTTAAGAGAATCCATTTTTATATAAATGTTTTATTAAAATAATACTAACATATCTTTCTGAATTTAACAATAAAGTAAACTATTCATGTTTAAATAATATTAATCATCCTGTTTGTGTTTTAATATTATTTTTATTTAAAACTGGGAATCTCTTCGACACGAGTGCATGAGTCGGAAAGCGACAATGTTGGCTGGTCGTATTTCCGTTGAGATATGAAATACGCCAGCGTTTAAAGATAATGATTGGCCATATTTAATAAAAGTTAAACTGTTATACTTTTACGAATCAAATGACACAACTCGATGATTAAAAGTTAGCGATTATAATGAGTTATCTACGCGATATCAAATCTTTATCGTTTTTTATCACTTCAGAGAAAACTGAGAATGGAAAATTTCATTTTTTATTACATTTACTTATACTAATACAAATTGCACTAAGCTTGTAATGACTTGTAATTGCGATTACTGATAAATATGTACATATATAATACTTTTAATAAATATACCTATAATGTTTGGTCCGAGTAATGAATAAGTGTTAACAGGAGATTGAAGTAATATGTAGGGCGCCGGCAGCGGCCTCCAAGTTTGACCGGTTTCCATATTTGGCAGTGACCGGTATATCCACACTGAATTGACACTTTTAATTTATCTGTGAGAAATGACTAGTACTTTCATGTAGCTTTCTCTTTTAATAAATTCGTCCTATGTATGTTTTTTTATTTAGATATTGTAATGTTTGTATAACATAGAATAGTATGGAGTATTATATTCTGACTGTCATTCTTTCGTATGACAGTGTGGGTCAGACGGGCGACCGTTTCAAGGCGAGGTCCCTCTGTCTGCACTAACCATTATGCACATACTGATGTCGCAGGTAACAGAAACGCATTGTGTACCGTCTGCTATTGTACAGTCAAACTTTTGAGGTACCCTAACCGATTGTTAGCGCCTTATTGTGCTATTGTTGGGACGAACGTAGGTTTATTATTAAGTTCGGAACAATAACATTTCCTATTTAAGCCCACAAACGATTAGATATCAATTGTCTGAAAGATTGAAGATAACTTTACAATGAAACGTTTGAAAAAAATATTTTGTCGTATTAAATATCGTTTGATACACATCGTTCTGAAATTTTATTTAAGTGTCTTTTCCAATAACTATTATCAATTTATAAAAGTTGGACAACTAAATATATTGCTCTTAAATGTTTCCACTAACGCCATCTCTTAGCCGGTAACATCACTAGAATACAAAGTAAAGGTTTTCGAAAAGAAAGTTAAACAACTTAAAGGCATTTTAAACTTAATAGTTATATTTTTTTAATGAACTAAATTCTGTGATAATTTGTATGCAAATTTGTTCATACGTTATTTAATTATCTCAATGTTATAAACCTCGTGCGTATTATAAATGCGAAAGTATGTTAGCATGTATCGACGTTGGTTGCTCTTTTAGGCAAAAACTACTAAATAGATCATGATGAAAATTTTTAGTACTGTAGCTTAGGCATCAAAGAATACCCTAATTTGACCCGAAATTCTTTGTAATTCTTGCGGGATCACGACGTTTAAGTTGTATTGCATATGACAACACGTTACACTGATTATAGATGTCGCTGCTGAATGGGTTCTATGTTTTTAAAACACATCTTATTAAACATATTATATTATTTTATAATATAAAAGAAAGCTGTGTTAGTTACACTATCTATAACTCAAGAACGGCTGTAGGGTTATGCTTGGAACTTGGTGGGGATATAGCTAAAAACAGGAGACAGACATTAGATATATAATTCTGTTGAATCAAAAAAGATTTTTTTCATTAACTCCCAATAATCTGATTATTTCTGAATTGAATTGTTCCGGTCAGCTAAACATATATTAATAACTAGAAGACCTGGCGAACTTCGTATCACCCTATAATCAAGAAATATCTATTACGTTTATTTATTTATATTTTTGGAGTTTACCTGTAAGCCATAAATCTCCGTGTTTTGAAGTGCGACAGAATGATTGACATATTAGTTAGTTGTCAAATCTAATGTCAAAAAAAACGTTTGTATGGGAAATAGAAAAGGGCTGTTTTTATGGTTTTCCCAGTAAGAATCAATTTTTTTCAGCTTTTATACCTTCTCTGAACCTCCACAAACATTTCAAGACTAAGATAAGATAAATCCGTTCAGCTGTTCTCGAGTTTTAGCGAGACTAAGGAACAGCAATTCATTTTTATATATATAGAAGATTAAGAATTAAGTCGCGGGCAAAACTAGTTATGCATGTTTCTCTGAACCCAAATCCTATGTTCACACGGATGAAGTTATGGGCCAAAACTAGTCTGATAAGTATGTACATTCTTCCTATTTGTTGAGTTTGCTGAAAATATACGTGGCTTAAAAATTATATGTAGTGGATATATTTATAGTATATACTTTTATCTGTGATTTTTTATATATTTTTCGCAATCCTTGAAACTTCTAAAGGTTTATCTCTATTTATTATTATATAAAGCGATATTTATCACAGATTGTGAAAGGCCAATGAACTTCTCGACTGAAATACGACAAAAAATCTCAGTAAACATTATAAAATAAAAAAAGAAGTAGGTATGTTGTATCTTAAACTCAATCGTTAGGCCAAAGAAGAAAAACATAATTATGTATATACAAAGTTTAAAAAACAATTATTCTCGTTTTAATTTTTAGAAACAACGAAGAAATATATTTTTTTAATTGAAATGTAATCTATAATATGCGTATATATTATTATAGTATATATTTATTGTAAACTTTATAAATTTAAGTTATAATTATTTTTAACTATGATGATGTCTAAGATTTTCGTCAGTATTCTTTGAAAATGAAACTAAAGTTTTCGGATATTACTAGGTGTATTTTAATATTTTATAACCTCATAATCTCAAGGATTCAGTTCCTTGGCAGCAATCGTGATCCCGGGCAGATGAAAGGCATTCAATTATAAAATAATAAAAAACGCGTAGTAATGTAAGAAAACCTTAGTTTCATTTAATTTTTTAACCGTAAAAACATAACACAGTTTAATTTCAGCCTCTAGAAATATTATCACGTGGGTGTGGAAAGGGAATTTATATTTGTGCCATCCTTTATTTTCATTTATTTATCACTAGTTCTGAATCCTATTAAGAAGTATTTATATGTAAATTTAATAACATGATTTACGAAGGGAATAAATTTAAATTGTTATCCCAGTTTATTCAAAACCAAGCCGTACGTAATTCTATCAAAATTCCAATTTATTATCTTAGAATAATAAATAAGTTTGTTCTCATTTATAGCACACAGTATTAGAACATACTGGACGGATTCTTGCATTTATAATTAGCTCTATTTCTCTGCACAAATTAAACGTGATAGACAGCCATATACCTACAAACTAGATAATTAAATAATTGACTTAGACATAATTGACTATTCTGTTGTGATTAAAATTTTAGCTTAAAACAATGTGCATTTTCAAGTTAATAATTTTGAGTTAGTTTAAAGGGCAATTTTTAATATATTATTTATCAGAATTGGAAGACATCGTTTGTCTTGTTCTGTATAGCTATGACTCACTATCATCTATTCTATTTTAATTATGTTCTATTGGATACTGTACTTATAAAAATATAATTTTAACATTATGAATGCCTTACCTTTCCGTATTAATAGACTTGTGACTCGCCGCAGCGCTTCCCTGGGAGATTTTTGGAAGAACTTGGGCGTCAAGTTCGGGGGGAGAGTGAGTGGCTTACGGGCTCCGGATGCCTCCCAAGCTACCGGATGGTCGGCGGCTACCTTCGCTGATGTTGAGATTCTATCCAGGTGCTCTATAGATGCAGGCCTGTTAGAGAAATACGGCTTAAATTTTGCTATCATGGAAAGGACTCCGCAGAAAATTTACCAAATACGACTTGAGAGATAAATAGATTACTCATAAATATTATATCTTTCTATGGCAAGCCTGGAAAAATCTTTTTTGTATTGTTCGTTTGCTTAGATACAATAAACAATTGCATTTCCCTCAATTATATTAAGAAGCTACATTACCGATGCAAAGGTTGGATGTCATTAGACTCATGTCGTGCGTGGAATGCATACCACACTCTCAATGCCGAAGCATTGTCCAGCATACAATTATTGTGGAACACTTCGATTGTTTTGAATAATCATTGTTCATTTCCAAAGGCGTATATAAATTTAAATGAAGTTAAAGTTGTTGTTTAGTTGAAACTGATTTATAAAGTTATCGAGCTTTTTTGTAAGCAAATAAAATGAGTTGATCTGTTTAAATGTTGTAAATATTGCTTTAGGCTAATTATATGTTCATATCTGCAATTAAATTTGAAATAAGGAATGTGTTGTGTGGTTAAAAATATAGCTTAATCATTTGCCAAGATTTTAGAGACAAAATGTTGATATGTTTATGCATATAACATTCAATTTGATTCATTCTACTTGGGACTTCTTTACATTTTCGAATACCCTACAGAGGATTTCATAACAAATCAGAATTTTATTTATTCATCTCAATAAGAAGGGACCAAGGGGAAGACAGATAGAGGCTGTATTAGTCAGACGGGGTTACCATTGTGCAATAATATCTGAACATAAAGGGAATAGCGACTGCCTTGTTAGAAGATGTTTTTATAATTTATACGTTTTGAAGTCTCTGAAAGACCATACTAACTGGGAATACCTCAGGAAGAGATGTTTATAAATTCTGAACGTAAGTAAAAGGAGTACAACCCAAATTTAGTTTTTAAACAAAGAGGGAACAGATACTGAGAATACTTGCCAAAATTTGTTATTTTATAAACGAAGAAACACAAAGGGTGAACACATTTCTATACAGGTACCTAAAGGCTGTAAGCAATTTCTAAATGTATTATTTTGGATGATATGAATTGCCCAGCCTTGTATGAACTCAAGTGTACTGGTATTAAAGTGTCTCAGGTTAAACGTAGAAACAGAACTTTTTCTGGTGGCTGACTTATACTTTCTAAATAAAACGTGTTTCAAATAATGTAATAAAGATAATAGCACAGTGTTGTTTTTATTATGAATTTATTAGTAACTTGCTATTGAAGACTTTCTACTACCACCCAGAGAATATTCATTATATTTGAATATATATACAAACTTAAGTAGACAAGCGTTTTGACAGTTTGTATTGTTACATAAAAATGTAAAAACTCAATCTTAAAGTTGCATAAGATACGTCACTCCATGGGTGAATAGATGCACATATTTCATATTTATGCTTAAGTTTTTGGAAGAGAATTAGGAGTAACAAGGAATTATTTTTTGTATTAATAGAGTAACTGTCACTGTTTCCATTTAACTATCTAAATTCTTCCATTTATTTAAGGCTGGCAATGTTTTCTAAATAGGAATATGCGTTATTTTTTCTTCTTTAGTAACCAACAGATACGGATTCTTTCAGACAACATTCCCTACTAATATTATAAATGAGAAAGTAACTCTGTCTGTCTGTCTGTCTGTTACGCTTTCACGCCTAAACCATTGAACTGATTTCAATGAAATTTGGTACAGACATAGAGTTGACCTTGAGAAAGAACATAGGATAGTTTTTATCCCAGACTTTTGAAAGGTTCTCTTGGAAACGCGATATAACCGAAATCCACGCGGGCGGGAAGCTAGTTATCTATATGGTCTTAAAGTACTAAAGGAAGTTGCAAATACTGCCAAGAAGGAAGTGTAGTTTTTTGCTGGATTTAACATTTTTATTATTATTATTACCGGTTCCGTTGTCTTGGATACCATCCGCGCGGTGGACCTCCCAGACGGAGGAGGTCAGCGCCGGTGCATACTCCCGAAGCCCCCATTACAGATCCACGCCCATAACCGCCTAGGGTAGCGCTGCTTCCTGTGAACAAGAGTTTCTTATGTTATTTATGAATCAAATAAAAATAGTATTAAAAAATGGCCCTATAAAATCAATTGATCGAATACAAGTCAACATATCATGTGCCCTGATAACTTTTAAATTGTCGTGTTTATTGTTTTCTTTTACTAGTGTCTTTCGATATGCACATATAATTTGATTGTTTTAAGCTGCTTTCAAATTTCCATAATATTTAGGATATGCATTTTTATATTTTTGGTGGCAAATGAGTAGACAGACAAAATGACGGCACTGTAACATAGGGATAAGTGCTTTTGTATTATAAGGATCTATGTGTAGTCCAGGGAAAAATAATAGATATTGCGAAATTGAAAGAAGAAAAAATAGAAGATAATTAGTCAATTGGATCAGCCAATTAATATCTAATCTAGAAATACCATTTTATATTCAATATTCATTTAAAAGAAAGTTAATTTTAACTTACCAATAGTTTGCATCGAGTTGATGGTGTTATGTCGGGGCGGGCCAGTATTTCTTGGTGGAGTTCTTGGGACATCACAGCCACGAGCGAACACAGGAGTCTCGGGTAGGCTGGCGGATGTCTGAAGCTGTCCACGAACATTGTAACCAGATTCACGATTCTGACGCTGCAGCGTACGACGGCGAGCGCCGCTGGTTCCAGTGTCTATTGGAGACGTAGAAAATCATCATATATTATTAGGAAGGTAATACAGTTATAAGACAGCAAAAGAAATATTACTATCAACTGTAAAGATAATTTTATAATGGTGATTTTCTAATGTGACAATTAAATAAAAGATATAAGACTGCCCATAGTTGTTTTAATATATTATTTTTAATAATACGAAATATTGTTTTGTTTAAAGTTATAACTAATTATAGTTTTAATTATTTAGCAGTAATATAAATAACTAATATAAGAGAAAGAAGAAGAAGAAGCTCATAAATATGGGAAGCCAAGTTTGGAAAATAATATGCTTTTTGAGTGATTTTAACCTATGCGGAATTTGCGGGTGTTTTAGGGCCTAAATAAACTAATATTTTCGGATGTAATTTGGATGAAAATGACATTTTCATCTCGGCTGTCCGTGATCACGGTTGATGCAAATATCCGAAACATCGTAAGTATGTAGTTTAAAATAATAAAAAAGCGATAGTGCGTTCGAAAAAATAAGTTTTATGTAAAAAAATAACCTTATATATCACATCGTAGAATATATTAACCAGAGCGAACCAGAAACATGAATTTCTTAAATATACCTGTTGGTAAAGTACGTCTGTCTGTTGAGCCGCTTTTGAAATTACTATTTCTTCTATTCTTGTTGAAGTTGTTTTCCATTGACCTCGTTTTCAGGCTATTTGTTGTATCGCGATGAGGCGGTACCGCGGGAGGCTCAGATGGCCTGGAAATTGTGAAATATTTTTATGTTATTATCTAGAATTTAATGTTGTACACATATATATTCCTATTGTGAAGTAGAAAGAAGAGCTTTTTACTGAAAATATTAATATTGATTTACAGCACAGTTCATTTTATTAACATTTTATAGACAAAAAAAAGGAATTATATTTCAATGTATCGAATAACATCTTTGTAATGTATGTATGTACATAATATGTCTATTTTTATCACTATACATAATTCAAATTATTTACCGTCTCCTCGATTCCATAGTTGGTGTTGGCAAAGTGTCCGCTTTTTTTATGTGACGTCTTCCCGTAGGCTGCATTATCTCTGTGTATTCATCTTCAACTTCTTGTACGGGTGAAGGTGGTAATGGCGGGAATTTTGGAGATTCCGGTGTTTGAGGTAGCGGTCCCATCTCATGACCTGTACTAGGCGATGGCGGTAATTGATTGTGCTTGTAGGGATGTTCCACTATCTGAATATTTAGAGGAAAATCACCTCCGCTTGATACAGCGGAATCTGAGGAGGAAGGCTGGCGCATCAAGCTTACTGGCACGTCCTTAGCACTAGTCGACTTATGCATACTATTCGATCTTCTACCAGAAGAACGATCGCGACGATCAATTGATCGCTGATTTTGGATTTCGTTATGACTCGAGGATTTCTGGATATCGTGTCTCTTTTGTCTTTCCCTAGAGCTATAACGGTAATTGTTCTCTAAAATATCCTTAGATATTTCATCACAGTACTCATCCTTATGTATATTCCAGTCTTTAGGTGTATATGGGGTAAAATGTTTTTGGTCCCGTCCTTGGTTCAATATAGCACTTATGTTATTTTCAATTTTTCTTAAAGGTGAGGTATCTTCATTAGAATCGATTTCACCACTTTCTTGATCATCCTCTTCCTCGACTGTCGTTATGAGGGCTTGACGACTAGCACTGTTACTGTCTGCTTCAGCTCCTAAACTTGGCAGTGATATAACACGCACCATAGTCGGAGGTACAACTGTAAGCTCATTGACAGTTTCATTGCAATCATTTTGTGGTGCCTCTTCCACTTTACCTTCTTTAATTAACGATTGAATGTTATCAAACGTAGAAGAATACTTTTTAAAATCAGTAAATCTATTTTGAGGAGATAATTTGCTTTGGACACTGTTAGTCTTAGAGCCAATGACATTTTTATCACTATTTATTTGCCTACTTTTAGGACTATGACCAAAATACTCTGGATTTATATATCTATCTTGACCATTATTGAGATCTAAACTTAATCTTGACTTCGGTGAAGTGATCTCCTTACTTAATCTAGAATTCGGTGTACAAAGATCAATGCTATATCTAGAGTTGGGCGTGTTTAGTTCACGGCTTAGTCTTGAATTAAGATCGGCGCTGTATCGGGACTGAGGCAAACTCAAATCCGAACTCGGCCTTGAGTTATAAGAACCAACCGAGCCTGAGCCACTTATTGAAATACTAGAACCATCTATTGATTTTTCAATGCTTCTATTCAAACTATGACTCTGTGACAGATTATTTGAATTCGTTTGTTGTTTGTTGTTTGTATTTTTGTTGAAAGTCGGTAACTGTTTTCTATTTTTTCCTTTTCGAATGACATATGTCCCTGTTGATAAGTCCTGCGGCCTTCGAAGTTCTGGTTCCGCGTCTGATGTTGGTGAAACTAATGGTTCACACTGTGACAGTGGAGGAGGCGGGGGCCAATATTCCTCACCCCAGTCATCATCAATCCTTTGAGGAATAGAACTCGTACTGGAATGTGATTGATCGCCAGATTTCTTTCGTCTTCTTCCTATAACCTGTAATATACAATATATTTTGTTAGCATAAAGATGTCTTATGTAAGAGAGATGTATGAAGTTAGTTTTGATATACCTTAGTGCTACCGGGAGTCAAAAGAGGATCGTCACCATCGAGAGACACTTCCCAAGCTATGGAATTGCGTTTCGAAGGCGTGCTAACTGCGGGGGGAGGCGGCGGAAAGGACTCTTCAAGTGAATCGTCGGAAAAATGATCTTCGTCATTGCTTCTATTTGCTCCTCGCATTTTGCAACTCTCCATTATATCCTCCGTCGAATCTCTACACACCTCTCTATGTCTCTCCATAGAGCTGGCAAGAGTCCGGGGAGGTATTTTACATTTCGGTGAAAGAATTTCTCCATCAGACCTACTGTCTCGTTTCATACTGTTCTTTTTCTCAATGCTCTTGGAATTTGAAGGAGAAATTTTGTAAGTTGGTGAGTGTGACTGACGACTGTATTGTATATTTGGTCCAGGATAAATGGTCACGGGATGCTCGTTATACGGTTTGTCAGTGAAATCACTCGAGAATCCCATAAAAGGAAATACCGGCGGGTTCTCAACACTAGGTGACTTTTTCTGATTGCTCGGTGGCGCTGAGTGACGAGGAGGTAGCCACGTGGGAGCAATCTCAGTTTGCGGCGGCCTAGCTCCATGTTGTAATGATGAAAATTTGTAAGGAGGAACTGGAGCCTGCTGCAGCTGAAATCCATTCGCTTCTATTTCTTTGTCCCATCCATATGGACGCTGGTGCCTTGTCTTTGGCTGGAATTGATAAACATTTTAATTATTGCACCATATATAAAAGCACATTTTATAATAGTAAATAGTTCCAAAATTTTCAAAATATTTAGTTAATCTTTTTATAATTCACCACTCTTAGAAGCAATCATATATTTGTAGCATTATAAAAAATAGTACATAAGATTGTGTTGTTTATAAGATTTTTGAGTATTCGAACATTTAAAGAGTATTTATTAAATTGATTAATTCATACAGCTATTTATTAAAACAATGTGATTATAGACTTACGAAAGTTGTTTGTGTTGCAGTTGTAATTCCGTTGACGCTTATAATAGAGTCCAATTTCTCTTCAGCTTCGGAATGGCTGAACAAGTTTGCATGTTTTGCAGAATTTGTGGGGGATACCCTGGAAATATCGGAGTAACCATAAAGTTTTTTCAGAATAAATAACATATGATGTAACTGTTTTTTGATATTGAAGTAATGAGTCATATGTAATTACTTAGGTAATAGGGTTGATATAATTCTTTGAGCTTCTTCAGGCGGTGGTGGGGAGTGTGGTGATGGAGGGTCTGGAGGCGATCCCTCTTCACGCTCCTCAGTTGGTCGGAAGCCCAGCGCGAATTTCGCTCTGAAATGAGAATATGGCAGGGATTAGTATAGCCCTATTTAATGAAGAGCGATAAAAAAAATATTACGTTATTTGATTAAAAAGTTCTACTTTAATGTTTATTGCATGATTCATCGCTTCATTTAAGGCATACTTATCAAGTATTAAAATAATCTAAATGTAGAGTATACTGAAAGTCGGTAATTAATTTCACATTTTGAAATGTTTTAGTCTGTAATTGTCAGCGTTTATAATTCGTCATCACGAAATAGTTTTGATTCCTTTCGAAATTTGAGGCAAACATTTTATTTTCACAGCCAAACTATTTAAAAAGCACCTAAGCAACGAGAAACGTTTTGTTAAGACCATATTCCTCACCGTCTGCCGTTCATGCTCATGTATCCATCGTCCTCGGAGGTGTGACCGGCGAGCGGCGAGTCGTCGTCTGTGGCAGGAGTGGCGGGCGTGGCTGGTGTGGCGGGCGTCGCTGGCGTGGCGGGTGTCGCACGCGCCTCCAACGATCGCGGTTCACCCTCGTCGTATTCACTTAACACCTGGTCCAGGAGCTCCAGAGAACGCTGAACGTCATCGCACCCGCTGGAAACGTTTTGTTTTTGATTTAGATACATTGAATTTATGATAAACATGACTAGTCCGCGTAAACTAAGGAAATAGACTCGGAGAGACTCATATGTGATTTGTTATCGCCTGTTTTACAGAAACTTGTAAGGTATTAGGTTGGTGCGTATGAAATGTCGCATTCTCTTTACATGCGGACGTTTGTCTCCCTGTTTTCGTTATACTTTTGTCTTTGGCGTAACCTCATTCATAGTCGTATTGTCCATTTCCAGAGACTCATTTCAGCAAAATAGGTTTTCTCGAGTACTTGCCTTTTGTTATTTCTTTTGAGTTTATTGCCGATATGAATTCTGCCGACATTCGCGTCATTTTCTTATATGAGTACAAACTTGGTAATAGTGCTGCAAAAGCTGCATGCAACATAAACCAAGCGTTTGGGGAGAATACGGTTTACGATCGGGAAGTGCAGCGTTGGTTCGAAAAATTTCGGACTGGCGATTTTTCACTGCAAAATGAGCCGCGCGAAAGACCGAAAGAACGCGGCCGGGGTAATCCATTATTCGTTCCTTCGACCTGGGGAGACAATTACGGCCGAAAAGTACTGCCAGTACATTGATGAGATGCACGGTAAGTTAAAAATTGTACGCCCATCGCTTGTGAATCGGCATGGCCCGCTACTGCTCTATGACAAAGCTCGGCCGCATACATCGCACAAAACAATTGCGAAACTTAGCGAACTAGAATATGAAGTTTTGCAGCATCCACCATATTTATTGGATCTCTCGCCGACCGATTTTCATTTTTCCAAGCATTTAGAGCTGTTTTTAAGGGGGAAACACTATGAAAATGAAGACAGTCTAAAAAACTCGATATCAGAGTTTATTAATTCTAAAGACCAAAATTTTTTTAAAACAGGCATCTACGCTTTAAAATCTTGTTGGGAGAAGTGTATTGAAGCGAATGGAGTATACTTTGATTGAAGAAACAGCTTTTGAAGAAAGATATGCAGTTTTATACAATCACTTAAGAATCCGACATTTCATATGCACCAACCTAATATTTGAGGTTTTAAGCAACTTTTGTCACGTTACACATAAAAGCTGTAGAACTTGATGATAAGTATCCTTAGTCGATTTCCTAGTTCTAAGCTACCTCCCCATCAATTTTCTAAATCGATACAACCGTTTTTGAGTCATAAATAGTGTAACTAACAAAAATTTGTTTTATGTATAAAGATAAATGATATGGTATATAATTTAATTCTTCAAATCGAGTATCCGATGATTTTGCGAAATATCTCTAACTGTTAATTTTCTTGTCACTATTATTTGTGTTTCATTAATGTGTCAGTTTAAGCTAAGATAACATTGTCAACTGCAGTGAGAGCCACTGCTTAATAAATGTTAAACAAGCTGAGACTTCGTAAAGCCGACTTGACGTGAAATCAATTATAAGCCAAAGTAAAGTCTTGACTTGCGATAATAGCGGTAAATTAAAAAGTTTTAAATCTTAGGGTTTAAGAAAATAATTTTTGTGATGATTCACTTAATTATAATTTATGTTTAAAATATAGGTGATATTGATATAATTTCAAAGTATTACGACTTTAAATTTAAAAAAATTGTAGTCTATTTGATAGAGTACTTGTATTGAATGTATGTTTAAAATATTGTAATATACATACTTAACTGTGAAAGTTAAAACTAATTGTAACTTCCCACTACTTACCGATTATAAAGCAACATGAGCTCGTTGCTTGGAGAAAGCTAGACTGAAATTAGCAGTGTAATGCTTTAAATAGCGATATCATTATTGTAAACAGCTTTTAATTCTATTCTAGCGACGTTCTTTGGACTCGATATTACTACATATTATAATAATGATCCACTCAAAAATATTTTAAAATTAAATAGTTCTGAAACATTTTAAATCGATACTAAAAAATTGGAAAAAACATGGCCGCAATAGCATTCAATTGTCCGAGATAATGTTAAATTGAAGTCATTTCCTTCAGGGCCGTGTCCTGGAAACGTTCTTACTGCACCATTAGAACAGAATAAGAGGCTAACTATGTCGGATGATTGCTCTTATCGCTCACAATTACTTTGATTTCATTAAGACGGTTTAGTTTCAATCATGGGCTTCCGAATCTGGCAGAATTGTATTGTTACTTACGTTTCCTAAAGGAATTCTTATGAATTTATTTCCTAATATCACGAGCAACGGAAATGTATATATTTTAGTTGTTTCACGTTCTCCGTCAAATGCTATTAAGCATTTTCCATGCAACTCCCATGGCATTTCTTATTAACCTACATATTTGTTACTTTGCTGTTCATTAAGCAATCCTATTGGAATGGGGTTATCTCGGCGGACAGCGATTCGTTTAAATAGGTTATTCAATTAATATGTGACCAACGACTTTTTATAGCCATCATTAATATGTTTTATTTAACGTACAAGTTTATTGACATCACTTAATTTAAAATAAATAGGCTTACTTTTGATTCACTATTTTCATTTTTATTTACCAAAAAATTTACACCTGACACGAAATTTCTAAACCAATATTTTTAAGATATGGCTCAACGGATGTCAATCATTGGATATTTTACTATCAGTGCCTTTTCCTATGATGAAATGAATCATTGATGGTCACTTAAACACACTTCCAGTTAAGGTCTTTTAGAATTTAGAAAAAATTAGAACATATTTTGTTCTCCAACTAAAAGCAAAAACGTAATTCGTCACTTCAAATAGCGCCCCGTCGGCGTCTGGTGCATTCATTATAAGTATTCATATTAAAGGATGTATGTTCCACTATAAAGTGGTTGTAGTGGCAGGCACAAAGCACCTCTTTTGAAAGAAGAGCCGCTTTCACGCCAGCTCTCGATAAGCCCTCAGCGTTTCATGGAGTTCCATGCTATACTTCCTCAATCGAATGGTAGGAAAAAATACCGTCCCTTGTATTTGTTTTTATGATTTATAATAAACAAACGTAGAAAAAACAGAAAAAATATACCGATGTGGTGGATTATATTGATTTACATTATGGATTTTGTGAGAGAAAACCGACGCGAGTTCGTAATCCATGCAATGAAAATTACAAATTGGACTTCTTATTTTGCGTCTGCTGAGTCTTAAGGGCCTCTTGGCTAGTGTATCGTGTTTGTGAAGACTGATAACACAGTCGCTGCTTGTATCGGGGCTTCATTAGAGGCCTGGCGTTACCGTCTACTCTAATGATGGCCGTGTTCAAGCAGTTTTTACCCACAGAGGAAGATTCACTGTCTACCTTATTATTTGATAGAACTGTATACAACAAATGTACACTATTGATGCATTATTACTAACATTAACTTGTATCTATTACGTGAACAAAATTAAGTTTGTAGATCATAATTAAAACATAGTTTAAATAAGATTGAATTTATATATTTTTAAAATTTTGATATGAAAAGTTTCGTTTATATTCATAAAAAACACATGTAAATAACAAATGTGAGTTTGCTTGTAAAATTTTAGTTCTAAAGTAGATGTGAGGTTAACAACAGTAAGTGTAAACTAAGTTTGAAGAAGTCTTAAGAGCTTTGAAATATTAACCGTAGTTCACATTAAACATGAAACATAAACTATTTGTAGAATATTGACGAAACATTTCAATGTTAGCATAAGTCGGCATTATTAACTGGTTATACAGGCGTCAGAAATAATAAGCTTTGGAGTTTGTAGGATAGGTTCGGATGTTCTTCGTGATTCTGTATACTGTATAGTATAATGTATCGTGCATACAGTGTATCGTGAGACGCATTGTATCGCCCGGTCTGCCACAAAGCAGAGCACTCAGCAAGAGTGCCGTGACGGGCGCGTGCCTGCCTTTGTTTTATTTCACCCACACTCCTCCACTTCGGAAACTTTTAAGGGGGACTCTAAATTGCGTCTCGTTTTAACTCGCCCGGTTACCCCTGATTAGTCGACTTGAGGTATCTAGCTGCAACATTCTAATTATGATTACGACAGCTAATGTGAGCTATGGTAATTGTAGTCGACGTGGAAATGTTTACTAGTAGGTGGCGCGTAATTTTTAAATTACGTTGTGTAGATTTCATTATAATCAGGCCTACTTCTTGGCGAGGTGGGCGCTGTTTATGCGGAAATGAGTGCAGTGAGGCGGAAGTGCAAAACGCCCCCGTCTCCCCCCGGGCGACGACCCCCGAGCGTGTACGCGCCAACGTGAATAGAGTCTTCTCATCACGGTTACGCAAAAACACGAGATCAATTAGCGATCAAGAATATATTTATCAATACGCAATTATCATATCATTAAAAGATCTAAGATTTTCGCAAGTCTTATTCATTTAAATGAAACTAATATTTTGTTTATTATGATTATATATTGTTATGTTTATATATATCATTGTGTTTATATATGAAACTAATATTGTGTTTGGATGTACTAAGCGACTTAATTTTTGATAAGAAAACTACATAATACCGACGTTTCGGCTACTTTTCAGCAACTGTGATCACGAGCAGAAGAAATGTGAGTGTCTCACACTCGACTTAAGTAATATATCATAATCCATAGACAATAAATATCTGGTCTCTAATGAAATATATAACAATTATAAAGCGACCCAAACAATATTCTTAATGGCGTCGTTTAAAAATTTACGGCGATAAAATCAAAGTATTACTCGAAATTTATTATTAAAGAAAATTCCATTTACAACTACGGTCAAGTGTAATTTCAAATTGGACGGAAGTTTGTCAATTAAGTAGTTAGGAATTTAAGTAAAGTTAGTTTATAAGCTGCTGAACTACAGTATTGATTAAGATTTATACTTCCACGGTTCATTTTGCTTTAAACAATCATTATTCTTCACTATTAACAAAAACTACGAAAACACTTATATATTCTTAGCTTTTAGTTGATGAGATAAGAAATGCAGAAGGCATATAATCAGTTATTTAAAGATAACATAAGTTACATGTGGTTAATGGTACAGATAAAGATATATTCCGAGCAATTGAATGTAAGTATGGACGGCGTGAAGACACGAATACTAGGACTTCATGAAAGTAGTGTAGTTTTGTTTTAGACTTTCTGTACGGGATGTCTTGTAAGTTTTAGGGGAGAGTGACTGATCTTGCCGAACTCCCCGAGACAGATGCTACACTCGAGTAAGTAAGAAAGTTTTATCTCGTTTTTAAACATCTGAATTTTATATATGCACTAGCTTTTGCCGCGACTCCGTCCGCGTGGAATAGTGACTTATGGCAGATTTTTGGTTCTTCCCACATAGTTCCTGTTCTTACGGGGTTTTCGGAATGGTCGAGTTCCCGTAGAATTTTCAGGATAAAACCTACGTTTTTTTTATTCACAATGGAGTACTCTTAACCAAAAACATATTTATTTGTTTATTTGAATAAATATTAATATTATTATATTGATACAACTTAAATAAATTATTTCGACCAAATTAGGTACCATAAAAACGATTTTTGTGAGTTAATCTTAAAAGATAGACATATACTGTCTTGGACTGTTTTTTAGATCATTAAAAGAGCTATTATTCTTTAATACATATTTTTTGTGTATCTTGAACCGTTTTCACGGCGCACGCAATGGAAGGCTTCAAAGATGAAATAATTTCTCCCGTTTTTTACACATTTACCTCTATATCTTTGCTCCTATTGGTCGTAGCGTGATGTTATATAGCCTACAGCCTTCCTCGATAACTGGACTATCCAACACAAAAAGAATTATTCAATTCGACCTAGTAGTTTTTGAGATTAGCGCTTTCAAACAAACAAACAAACAAACAAACAAACAAACAAACAAACAAACAAACAAACTCTTCAGCTTTATAATATTAGTATAGATTAGAGTAAGAGGCTGTTAAATAAATTAATGTGTAGTATATACATATATTAAAGATATGAATTACGAATAAAGTTAAAAGAAAAATATCACTTTTTTAATTCTAAATATTTTTTTATACTAACGATGTTTTTTAGAGTACTAATAAAAGAACTAAAATGAATATAACTTTTTATATATTTTATTTTTTTCATTCGGTCATTTAGGAAGTATGTTAGTAAAAATGCACGCTTTTTGACTGCTTCCACGATTTATATACGTCAGTCGAATTTCAAATCGTATGTCGGATAAAATATAACATATATTTTATCTGGTATATTTGGAAAATAAAAATAAAATAAAATAAACAGTTTGCCTTATCAAAATCAATACATATCAGTCAATGACCATGTAAGTAAACTAACGCTTTCTCTATTTGTAATTAACTGCAAGTGTGGTTGATTAATTTAAAAATTCTTTGCATATATGTTTAATTGATATACCTGATTAATTTAGATAAATATACTGTTAAGCTATCTAAATACATTTACATATTTATCTAGTCAAACAAAGTCGGCTCTTATAAAATTGTCAAGGCTATTAAAGTGTTGATTTTCAGTGAAATCTTATTGGTCTTCCGCGCGACGGAAGGAAGCGTCGAGGACATGCCAATAAGCGCGGCGACTAACAACACCTCGCTCAAACCATTGCCGGAAGCAATTTGTCCCGTAAGTCAATGTTTTAAGGTCTAAATTCCTAATAAGCACTTGCTATTATCGGCTGCAGCGGCTTAAAGCAATTTTGTGAGTCAATATTGAACTTTGTAACTCTTGGGAACGATGTGTCCCTTTCAAATAAATCAACTGCTGGATTACTTGCCAATTCCAAGAGGTCTTAAATATTGATTTTTAGTTATGACTGCTATTAGTTTCCTACTTAATTTAAAATCATGAAATGCATAAATTACATTTCAACTAAAATGAGTTCAGATGAACTTCACTAGTTCTCAAATAAATTTCTTGGCTTAAAAAAAAGAGGAATAAAAATATCCATTTAGCATGATCCATTGTAATTTCAAAATTTTGATAGACAAGCCTCTTTACGAAATACAATGATGGTTATTAGGGGAATCTATTTAGTTATATTCGTTAATTTTACAAACATTGATAACTGAAGTGCAAGAAATATTAAACAATTGAATACAACGGACGAGACAAACTGGAGATAGTAGACATAACACCAAAGTGGCGCTGGGCTGACTCAGATTGGAGGTGTTAATTAAGCAATTAGTCGACATCTCGAGGTTTTGCGACGACGTCCGCATGACGGAACTCTCCTCAGAAAATTACAGCAGCCAAGAGATCTCGTAAAGCCCTTTCCAAAACACACTTATAATATCTCTACAGCCTTATTTTATTTAAATGTAATTTAATAATTACGTTACGCTCAAATGACGTTCACGTTGGATTATTCATTTAAGCTTTGGAATTGCGTTTAATAAGGCGGAAACTTTATTGAATTATTCTGACAGTTATAAAGACGGGCTTAAAATAGGAATGAAAAATATGTTTGATAGAATATAATTTCCAAGGCAGCTTGATGTGAAATTTGAAGCTGCCAGCAGATACTACCCTTTCAAATTTCATTAATATTATGCTGAGTAATACATCCCACGTGATTTGTTATTATATGACAATATTTATGGTCAGCCGCGTTAAGGGAGAGTTTAATTTTCGCCCTAAATCATTAGCAGTGTCACCGAAATTTCGTATACGAGACTGGAAGGGAGCGGTTAATGTAAAATTTTTGTTGTATCACAGCTACGTTTTCATGATTCATTTGAAAATTATCTATAAAATTATCCTTTACTGTTCCTGGTAAAACAAACAAGTAAATATGGTTCCGTTTTTAAATCCAGCTTTTACTGGTAACACCTTCTTTAAGCACTAATAAAATTTTACTACATAAGTACTCCATGAAAGAAATTTATTTATACTTGGACGTCCAGCAGTCTTTGTCTGTTCCTATTGTACTAATTAGTAAGAGAATTCAAAAAAAATCTTAGCTCATTAAATCGACTGCGAAGTTTTCTTCTCACTCCCACTAAAATTATGTTAACACTTTCTTGTCTTCTTTCTAAAATTTATTACTTAATTTGACCAGGAACATTTTGAAGAACTTGAGCGTCTTCAAAATATAGTTACTGAGTTCATTTCTGGCTTGCGTAAATATGGTCACATTTCTGAATTTTATCATAAGCTCAAATGGCTCTCCATACGTTACTGGTTGGATTTACACTTTAATTCTCTCTTGTACTGTTATTTTATGCTGTTAGCTTTTGTTAATTTTCTATCTCTAAAGTTTTGAATCAAGAGTACTTCTTACATCTGCAAGAGTTCTTTAAGATCTTTATCATGAATAATTTATTATTATCTTTGCACATATATCCATATTTACATTATAACATTTTATGTTTTTTTAACTTGATATAATTGTTGCAAGATTTGTCATTGTCTATAGGACTTCCAATTGTTTTAATTTTTTTAATCAACAAGTGAAAGAAATAGCTTTCAAGGATAAAGAACACAACAATTTTAACTTCTATTATGTATGAATTTTTATCAAATCTAGGTACTTTTGAAATAAATTATCTTTTGTTAACATTTATTATAACTACACTTACAGTTTCTATTCTACAAATTAAAGGTGTTAATTTTCTAAATAAGGTTGTCGATAAAACGCTATTAGGTTATATGACTTACTAACTAATATTACTGCTTACAACATCGCGTATTAAGTAACATATTTTCTTTTGTGCATTAAATAATAACTCCCTATAATAACAATACACCAACTATATTGCTAAACTAATTAATATCTTATTCAGTAGGATAACAACATTATATTGATTGAGGGATATAATTGTAATATTGTTCACGATAAGCCTTATATTTCTGGCTATACTGTTATTGATCTTCTGCCAAACAATTCGTATTATTCCATTAACGGCAGATTTGATTTTGATTGACTAAATTGTTTCCTTTTGAGAGTTGACTTACAAACAATATTTATTGTAAAGCGTTAAAGTAAAATGTTCTATACTAATTTTGATTGGAACCTCTGTATATAATTTATATAAGTTTATTTTGTATATTAATAGCCACATATATAACGTTTATATTTTGTTGGTTGTTGTCTTATTGATCGTAAGCCAAAGCCAGACGACGCGACGATGAAAAACTATGCTTTTCGTTAAAACAAATAAGTATTCGCATTCATAAATTGCCAACTATACTATTGGTTCTCGGAATTCACTCGACGAGAATAACTTACGGTTTGAGAACTCAAATAATTTTATTGCTTCGAGTATATTTTATGACAGTTATTTACACAGCTATAAACACAGGTTGCATAATAACAAAATAAATAATAAAAACAAAAATGATACCAAAAATCAAGACTAAATAATATTTGGACGGCTATTAATTAAGACGATTGTATTACTTTTGGTTGGCCAGTAATGAGTTATATTGATGACTAGCTTTTGATCTCGACTTTGTTCGTTTGGACTAAGATTTATTGTGCACTTGTAATAGTTAATATTACAAAACATTTTTCACGTTTTTGCAGTGAGACAGAAAATCCGATCAATGGTTTAGGATAGGTATTGATGAATTGCGGTAGAGCGAGAAAAGAAAAATATTTTATTTTTATATTTCCTTTTCTATCCGTACTCGTTTAACTCGACTGTGTTTACAAAACGAGGTATGCGTCTGGAGTAAGTGCTATGACACTTTGTTTCAATGTTTTCATTCTTAATTCGCCAAAAAGAATGCTACAAAACAATTGAAATTCCAAGTGTTCATTTAATAGGTTCAGAATTGATTGTATTTCTTCCTTTATCTTACGAGTAGTATCAAAGAGAATTAATTTTAAATTAATAGTTTAATTATTTTGCAAGTTTACTTAATTTAAAAGACTCATCTAAAAGCGATTCATGTATGCTTTATTGATGAGTTCCATATTTATTTTTAATATCAAAATTTACATCTTTGAGAATTTAGGTATGTTACATATGTGTAATAAACTTTTGGTTAAAAATATAAGAAGCCGTAATGAGACTATGGATAGGGTTTTAGCACAGAAGCATGCATTTAGTTATGACTTATATTAATAGAAAAATTGTTGTTCTTGAAATAAAAAATATTAATCGTAATAATAAATAACAATTTGGATTTTTTAATGTATTTTTAAAAATAATTATTGAAATATATAACAATATATGTAAATGTGATGTTATGCTACACTATTTTAATTTATGGTGAAATTTTTCATATATTGATGAAGAGATTGCACTTTTTTTAGTCCAAATATAAATTACAATTTCTAATTCACCGTATCCATTATAAGTTTTTTAAAACATGTCTTTAGTCAAATTGATTTGTAATCTTATTTGGTAGAAAAAGACTTAAGCAGCTTTGGCTAATTACTGATTTTATTGTTACATAAAACTCATTAAAGACTTTCATTAAATAGTTTAGGTTAACTTAAAACCACCTTCATTGTATAATTTCAATGGAATAAAATGTAAATTAAACAAAGGAGACTTATAATACCTATAGGAACGGTCACCAATACAAAAACTTTAAATCACCGAGCTCACCGATTGTGAATACAAGCAGCAGGCGGTCACAAAAATGCCTCTGAATTATTTAAAACCTCCTAATGCAGATTTCGCAGTTCCTATGTATATTCTGTGAGCTATTCAAATGCATTTTTCCTAGGAAGGGAAAAACAATAAGCGTGAGTTAATAAATAATGTCGTCGCCCTTGTTCCTCAGTTGCCATGGGGTGTTTGAGGGTGCGAGTGTGAGTGGCAAACATTAGGCGCATCTCAACAATAAGCGGAGACGTCGGATGCTGCGGCATTACTAGCTTGATTTATTCGTCTGGCGTCGTGTGTACTCTCCCTAATACCTTAAACCGTGAATGGGCTGCAGTGACCATACTACGGTACGAACGAAAATGTTGCGCTATTAAACTGTAAAATTTACATTAATTAACAAACTTTTATGTATAAAAAATATAATTGAAATTTTGTTTCGTTATTGTATTATAAAACATAGTATTGGAAAAAATTTACTTAGATTCTGATATAAAAATTGATTATCTCAAAATAATCTTCCATTAAAAGTAATAAAATGTGTAAAGGCTATTGAATCGACAGCAAAAATCTGCTCAAATTCTTAACAAAAACATTTTACGTCGTTTCTAAACAGCTTTCGAGTGAGACATCACAAAATCAATATAATCACAGTGTTTAGTAGCCCCTTACAAATTGTATCAACCCCATCAAAATTGTGGTGTTCCAAGCTGATATTCGCTCTTTAAAAACGAACGATATTCTATAGAACCCCATGACGGTATCTGCAGTTAATTATCTGCGTGAGGGGATCAAGGGGGAGCGCGAATCTTCCCCTCACTAGTCAGAGCCAAGATTCGAAGCTATCTAAACGGTGTGCCCTTGCAATTAGTTTTAATTAAACTCGATGGGGGGGACTTAATCAATATTTCAAGGTTTTTGCAAGTTCGCTAATACAGTTTCTGATCATTAATAGCGACATTCAATTTGATTTAAATTGAAAATTGATATCGAATTGCAATATATTCATTGGCGTTCACTTGAGTGGCATGATCTTAATTAGCTAAAAATGTATTTTCCTATAGTAGAC